GACTGCTGTGCAACCAAGCCACTGCCCCTCTTTGGGCGACAGTTTCCTTAAGTATACACTCAGGCCCCGCACTCCCTTCTGGTTCTGGCCTTCTGTAGGTCTGCTCTAATATATTTATCAGTTAGCATGTTATTTATATATGTAACATCTGTCCAAAGGAGAATCCCCAACCGTAACCTCACTTACCTTATACTCAAAGTATATTGATGCCAAAATATGTCATGAGTCAAATATATTAACCTGTATGAACACATTCATTCTGTATTCTGTCAGGGATTTTAGTCCTATCAAGTGAATGACTCCTACCTAAAAATAATGAACAAACACTAACAATGGATTATGGCCATAATAAATAATGATGGTTTGATATAATAAAAATTCCTTATATAAATATAAGTCCATTAATGTGACCCTGAGATCTCTGAACCTCTAAACCTCAGTTACCTTTTCTGCAAAATGCAGAGGCACTGAATAAATGGTTGCTGCTGCAGTTATGTTTTTTATTTGCATAATTATGGTAATTGTTTTCGAAGCACTTTTGGGTTCATTATGCATTCTACCAAGGGCCAGGCACCTCGCGAGGCGTTGGGTAAACTGGTGAGCAGACGAAGCTGTGTCAGGGGCTTCTCAGGCTCAGAGTCGTGAAGAGGTAGTTCTGGATCAAATAATACCATAACAGTACCAAGGGCCACTCTGCATCATGCAGGGGCAGGGGATGCAGACGACATTTACGGGCCACGGGCCGCGTCCCTGAACAGGAGTTTCATTTAACTTTATCAGGCCAGAATCTCGAAGCAAACCGCTAGGAGGTGTGACTTGCATTTCAGAAATGAAAGATCTCCACGGTCACGCAGCCCTATTAGAGCCCCTGATTCTCTGTCCGAGCAGGGAAGGAGGAGATGCTGAACCAGCGCGACTATGAGTCGGCGTCGCTACAGGAGGTGCGGGCGTTATTGCGGCGCCACGAGGCCTTTGAGAGCGACTTGGCGGCACACCAGGACCGCGTGGAGCACATCGCCGCGCTGGCCCAAGAGCTCAAGTAGGCGTGGCCGGGGCCGGGCCCGCCCCCGGGGACAACGCCCCTCCCTGCGTGGCCCCGCCCCTCGGCTCGGGACCCCGCCCTCACCCTCATTGCTTTCAAGGCGTTCGCCACCCAGCCTTGGTACCTCTTCCATCCCCGTCGCCACTTGCTCCGTTCCTCCTCCCAGCCCCATCTCCGGACCCCGCTCTGCTGCCCACACTCTCGCCCACCGGCGCTCGCCCGCCCCACTCCCATGGCCTGCCTCCTTCAGCTCCGGGGCTGGGTCCGCTACCGCCTCACCCCTGCTCAAATACACTCGCCCTTTCTCGCATAACCCCGCTCCGAAAATCCAGGCGATACCCCTCCACGCAGGCTCCTTGAGGGACTTGATCTGAGACCAGTGGGCACCCCTATTCCCCCAAGACCACGCTGGGAACACCCCCTTCAGGAAAGTCCTGTTTGACCCCACCTGCCATGGGGCGTGGGTCTGGAGGAAATCTGGGCCGCGGTCTGGCCCCACAGTCACCCCCCTCTTCCCGTCCCCAGTGAGCTGGACTACCATGACGCCGCCTCAGTGAATAGCCGCTGCCAGGCCATCTGCGACCAGTGGGACAACCTGGGCACGCTGACCCAGAAGAGGCGGGACGCCCTTGAGGTGAAGTGGGGTCAGGGAGCAGGGGTCTGGACACTGGAGACAGGTGATGAGCCTGCTGGGCAGACTGCTGACCCGTCGCCATCTCCGCGGCCCTTAGAGGATGGAAAAGCTCCTGGAGACCATCGACCAGCTGCAGCTGGAGTTTGCACGGCGGGCAGCACCCTTCAACAACTGGCTGGATGGTGCGGTGGAGGACCTGCAGGATGTGTGGCTGGTGCACTCGGTGGACGAAACTCAGGTGGGTGTGGGCGTTCTAGGGGGGGGCTGGGGCTGTATGAGATGACAGGGAAGCGGGCCTAAAATCCTGTCACCGTTCCTCTAGGCCCTTGGGGAATGGGGACAGAAGGAAAACCCCAGTTCCCTAGCGCTGAGCTAGGAAACAGGAGGCCTGGACTCTTGAGCCAACCCTGCCTGGGCCAACTGGATGGCCTGGGGCAGGCTGCTGCCCTGTCACCTGCAGGAAGCTGGGGGTGCTGACTGATCCTGCCTGCCTGTTGCCCGCAGAGTCTGCTGACAGCACATGAGCAGTTCAAGGCAACGTTGCCTGAGGCTGACCGAGAGCGGGGCGCCATCCTGGGCATCCAGGGTGAGATCCAGAAGATCAGCCAAACGTATGGGCTGCGGCCGAGCTCCACCAATCCCTACATCACCCTCAGCGCACAGGACATCAACACCAAGTGGGACACGGTCAGTGCTGCCTGCGGCCACTCCCTGTCTCCCACCAGCTCCTGAGAACCTTAACCACCCTGAAACTGCAGGTGTCTCAAGATAAGGAACTGGGGTCTGCCACAGACTCCTGGTGGCGTTGGCCAAGGCACCCAGCCTGCCAGCCTCACCTGGAAAGAGGCCATAGCAGCAGCATTTTCCTGTCAGGCCTGATGCAAAGTAGAATGAAACCTGGTGTGTGGACATCCTTTACAAAACACCTTGTTAGTTATAAAGGAAGTTGTTGAGTGGTTTGCCCAAGAGCCTGCCCCAGGGCCTTGACACCTTGGCTCAGAGCAGCAGGGGCTTTTCTAGGGACTGGTTTTCCCCGGAGCTGCCCCTGCCACAACCACCCTGCTTCCCAGGTCCGAAAGCTGGTGCCCAGCCGTGACCAGATGCTGCAGGAGGAGCTGGCACGACAGCAGGTGAACGAAAGGCTCCGGCGACAGTTTGCAGCCCAGGCCAATGCCATTGGGCCCTGGATTCAGGGGAAGATGGAGGTAAGGCTCGGAGGGTGGGGCAGGGGCTGGGCCGCCAAGAGCTGGGAGTGCTCATCCTGCCTGGGTCTCCCTGCAGGAGGTGGGGCGCCTGGCAGCCGGGATGGCCGGCTCTCTGGAGGAGCAGATGGCTGGACTGCGGCAGCAGGAGCAGAATATCATCAACTACAAGAATAACATTGACCGGCTGGAGGGTGACCACCAGCTGCTTCAGGAGGGCCTAGTGTTTGACAATAAGCACACCGTCTATGGAATGGAGGTGGGCTCAGACCTGCTAAGAAGAGGGGAGGCAGCGTGGGCTGGGGGAACCTGGGCCAGCCACAGCTGGACATAGCATGTCTGGCCCAGGAGGGACCCCAGTTCAACTTGGACAAGTCCCTCAATATACCCGTAGGGGTACTGAGACCCAGTAAGTGAAAACTGACCTGTCCAGAGTTACACAGCAGTCTAAAGCCAGACCAGGCTGGCCATGGCTGGTTGATCAATACTTGATACATAATAAATCATGAAACTTTTAAAGCAGGAAGGGCCACTAGAGGTCACTCCATGGAACCTCCAGAGGGGTGCAGATTCCCCAGAGAGGAGAGGACTTGCCCAGTGTCTCACAGTGGATTGGGGGCGGAGCCAGAGCGCATGGCCAGGCACTGGCTGCCCACTGACTTGGGCTGTCTCCTGCTCTCCCAGCACATCCGTGTGGGCTGGGAGCAGCTGCTCACCTCCATTGCCCGCACCATCAACGAGGTGGAGAACCAGGTACTGACTCGAGATGCCAAGGGCCTGAGCCAGGAGCAGCTCAACGAGTTCCGGGCATCCTTCAACCACTTTGACCGGGTCAGCAGGGACCCAGCCTTGTGGTGGTAGACTGGGGGCTGGTGGGATTTGAGGACCAAACTTAACACCCACTCACCCACTCCAGAAGCGGAACGGGATGATGGAGCCTGACGACTTCCGGGCTTGCCTCATCTCCATGGGCTACGACCTGGTGAGTGTCCCCCACCCCTGTCCCAGGGGTCCCATCAGTGCCCTCTCCTACACATGCACCACCTACTGTGTGTCTCCCACCTTAACATCCGTGATCTCCTCACCATACTCATTGGGGCTGGGCAGAATTATCCCATTTCAGAGAGGGGCTATTGAAGACTCAGAGGTAGATTAACTTTTTCATAGACACACAGCTGGAAATTTGGAGCTAGTTCAGTGTGACTCAAAAGCCTGGGCCTGCAACATTTTTACTCAAGAGAAACAGCGCTACAGAAAGCCGCAGAAGAAACATCAGGCCCAATGGACACCAAGGGGCATTGCCACGGGCAGGACGCAGACTTTAGCCTAGAGGGAAGACTCCCTAAAGCCAGAGCTGACAAGGCTGCAGTCTGTGGAGAAAGGGAGCATCCTGCCACTGGGATTGTCAAGCCAAGGCTGGACAGTCCCCGGGGGGCTTTGGCGTCCATGGGCATGATGCCCGGCCTCTGATCCCTGCAGGGGGAAGTGGAGTTTGCTCGCATCATGACCATGGTGGACCCCAACGCAGCTGGGGTCGTGACCTTCCAGGCCTTCATTGACTTCATGACCCGAGAGACCGCTGAGACTGATACAGCTGAGCAAGTTGTGGCCTCCTTCAAAATCCTGGCAGGAGACAAGGTGAGTCCCTGGCCTGGAGAGGGCTGGCGGGCTGGGGCAGGGAATGGGCCCTCAACACCTCTTCTCCCCCAGAACTACATCACCCCTGAGGAGCTGCGGCGGGAGCTCCCGGCTGAGCAGGCGGAGTACTGCATCCGCCGGATGACGCCCTACAAGGGGTCTGGGGCTCCAGCCGGAGCCCTGGACTACATTGCCTTCTCCAGCGCCCTCTATGGGGAGAGTGACCTCTGACCTCGACCCCTGAGGTTCTCCGTGCAAGTCAGAGAGAGGGTGCTCCCTCTGATTCTGTCCATCCCTCAGAGCACAGACCCTCGATTACGACCAGCCAACTGTTTCTGAATAAAGATCCACCGTGGTTCTCTCTCTGTGTCCTTTGGGTTCCTGAAGCAGAAGCTGAGCCCTCAGGTTCCTGGGAAGGGCCAGCCTCCTGAACTTCACCCTCCAGGAGTTCCCGCCACCCCTACTTGCCCTCAGGGGCTGGGCATCCACACCACACTGGAGCTCAGGTCACCTCTTTATTGCTCTTAGAGGGTAGTTACAGCAGTCTGTCTAGACGTGGAAGGGAACACTGTCCCCAAATCCAGGGGGACCAGAATTTATAGCAGCGGACAGAAGAAGGCCCGGGCAGGAAGCCAGAGCCTGCTGAGAGGACATGCTGGATTGAACACCACCACATCTGCTTCCCACCTGTCCTTCCCTGAGCCCAGGGTCCCACGCCAGCTTCAGCTACCAAGACGTCATCCTTCACCCCAAGACTTTCCCAGCTACTGCAACTCAACAACGGTGCAGCTGAGGAACCTCAGAGTGGGAGTCGGGGGGAGGGGCTACACCCCTAGCCCTGTGCCCTTTGCCCACCTTGAGGTACCCGGCACCCATCCCTCAGCCAGCTGTGTCTCCTGGAGAGGGGCCCAGACATGCAGCTCAGTCTGGGGGAGGGGCTATCCTGGTCAGCAGCAGGTCCTGAGCTGATGCTCCTCAGTTCACCACTGCCGAGCTGGCCATGACGTTGACACCACAGGCCCCGGACCCACGATGCAAGTAGTAGTAACCCTGGGAGAGAAGGGAGGGGCGTTGGGAGGGCCCTAGGGCAGGGTCAGGGCTGGAGGGCCAGGGGCCAAGCGGGCAAGACTCACCTCCTCACCCCAGTCAGTGCCCCAGCTGTTCTTGATGGCCCAGAAGGGAACATCAGAGCCTGGGAAGCAGTGGGGAGTACAGAGAGTCGGGACCCCAAGCACTCAGCACGCTTCCAAATATCTGCTGTGGGCCTACTGTGTGACAAGTACTAGAAAGACAGCAGAAAAAAGGACAGGCGCACCTACCACCCTCCTGGAGACCAGGTAGGGCTCTGCGGTTCAGGAAGGGCACAGGCCCACACCCCTCTAGCACGTTAGCGGCCGTGCAGTTCAACCTCCCACCGCCTCAGCTCTCCCATCCACAGGGGGATGGGTGATCCCGCCAGGCCCAGAGTGGGGGGCAGGGCTAGGACAGGGTCCCTAGGCTTTCCCTAGATTTCCCCCCTAGAGGTCCTGAGATGCTGTGGTTCGACCTCCACCTGTGACCGGGGGCGGATGGGCAGAGAGGGGGTCAGCCAGACTCACGGTTGCCATAGCCCACGAGCAGCACAGCATGGTCAATGAACCAAGGGCTGCAGAGAAGCCTCAGTGGACGGGAGATCCCACGGCGGTAGAACTGGGGAGGGAGAATATGCAGTAGGGGGCCAACTCCAAGGAGAAGCCAGGGTGGAGTCAGCAAGAAACAGGGCAGGGACAGCGGGGCCGGGGCCTTACCTGCATGCCAAAGGCGTTGATGGCAATGGAGACGGGGCCCTTGTTGGCCAGCCAGGCCGCCAGCTCTGAGACAGGGGAGGCCAGCGTCAGGGGCACCCAGGCCTCAGTCCCACGTGACCTGTCCTTGCCCCCACCCCTCACTCACTCTGCTCATCCTTGCTTAGCTCCACTGAGTCATTGATGTAAACCTTGACCTTCTCCGCAGAGAAGCTGCAGGTCTGCAAGTGGCCGTGGTAACTGTAATCATCCTCTGTTTCCAGCCCTCCTGTGGAACATCGCGGGTACATGGGGGCGTGGAGAAAAGGGGGACTCGGCTTACCATACACTCGTCTCCCAGCCAGAGGCCGCGCTCAGCCCCTTACCCACGAGGCCTCACGTTCCTCACCCACCCCAGGCCACAGCCCTTCCCCTCTGCGGAGGAGCCGCATTCCAGAGATGACACAACTGAGGCTCGGGGGTCGAGGGAGTCACCAGTGAGCAATGTGGCGGAGATGGACCTCAGCTCCCATATTCTGACTCCTCTCTTGACCCTGCTTTCCTAGGACTCTTGACCTCGGCTTGCTTGTCCTGCTCTGACAGGACCCAGCCCTGACTCTGGCCAGGCAGGGGTGGCTCCCAATCTAGCACGTCCCCGCCAGGCTCCCAGACCAGTCTCCATACAGCCACCTCCGTCCCTCAGCCCTTCGTCCTTCTACCACTGCAGCCCGCTGCGTAGCTGAATTGCCAATGAAAGTCAACACCTCCCCTCGAGGGTGAGGTGTGTTGCTAGCTGGTTTAGCAGCATCTAGAAATACAGACCTCCACGCAGCAAAAATACCAAGACCCTGTTCTGTGCCAGGAAGTTAACACGTTTCCTCACTTGATACTCAAGGCAATTCTAGCGGGTAGGCATGCGTCTCATTTCACGGGTGAAGCAGCGGAGGCTCTGAAAGAGCTGCCCTGCCCAAGGACTTCAACCAGAAGGGTCAGCACGAAGACGTCAGCCCAGCCCACGTGACTCCCACGCTCATGTCCCCCTCACAAAGTGACTTCTTGTGGAGGGAGCAGTGGCTCCCACTGACCCTGCTCACCCCGGCAATGCATACCCAGAGTCTTTATGGCTGAGTAGGCGTTGGAGGGCAGGCCGCCCATGCAGGCCTTGTCCAGTGTGTCACAGTCCACGAGCTCTAGGAGAAAGAAGGCCGGTTCCAAGGAGCCCTCAGGAGGGATTGGGCTGGAGACAGGGGGACAGAGCGGGACGCTCACCCTGCTCAGAGAGGGAGAGCAGGTCCCCCTGCTTCAGGAACCACTGGCCCTCCACGTTGCCTGTAACTGAGAAGGCCCAGCAGGAGCCACACATGCCCTACAAGAGACAGGGAGAGTCAGGGCTGGGTCCCTTCCCGACCCCAGGGCGGTCCCCACATCCTGCCCTCACTTTTGAGGGGTCCAACCTGGTTCTTGACTTCGGTGACAGCCCCCTTATTCCTCCAGTCCCACTCTGGTGGGGCAGGGTCGTCCACGGGCTTGGCTGGGTGCATCTCCTTGCCAAGCCCCTCCTTCAGGAGGGGATTCAGGTAGATGGTGCGGAACTCCTCCTCTGCAGGCAAAGATGGGCAGGCGACAAGACAGGGGGGTGGTTTTCTAAGTGAGCCTTGATTAGGGCCTTGGGAACAGGCCCTGTCTCTTCCAGGTTCCAGGAGCGCTCTGGCCAGCACCCCTACCTGTGAGATCACTGAACTTGGTGACTCCATACTGGGCTGTGCCACGGTCCAGGGCCTGGATCCTCTGAGCTTGTACCATGTTATTGATAAAGATGGACATGCGCCGCTGGGCTTCTGAGGACCAAGGAGCAGGAGAGGAGGGGCTCAGGCCCCATGCAGATTGTAAAGGGGGCGGGGGTGCTCGGGGATAACAGGCAGAGGTTTCCCTGGGGACCAGGGTGGCTCCGTGAGCTCAAGATGGGTAGGGGGGGGGGGGGGGGCAGACCTACAAGTGGTAAGAGTGGCAGGTGTGATGAACTTTGGGGGCCAAACTGGGATGATGACTTCCCAGGTATGAAGGAAAACCCTGAACGGGCTCCAAAGAGCAAGCCCAGGTGGGCAGTCACGGGAAAAGGCCAGCGTGCCGGGGGGCCTCGAGCAGGCAACATCTGGCCTTTGCCCCCTCCCACTCTACCCAGAATGATGGAGAACCACGGCTTCTGACCAGGAAAATCAGATGGGAGAAGGGGCCAGGTCCTTATGGTGGCTGCCCAGCCCTCGGAGGCTGGGCAAGAGCTTGGGGGCTTAAGGGGCCTTGAAAGGGTGCACTACCTCTTCTGTCTTTCCCCTCCCAACACAAAGGTGCCAAGTTGGGGGAAGGTCTGATCTGACTGGACAGTTACAGCCCAGGCTGGGTCCTCACCCTCCTCTGTCTCATATGTCCGGTTATAGGTGGTGATAAAGTCCTTGAAGAGCGAAACCATTTTCATATAAAAGTTCTGGAAAGGCAAAGGGGTCTTTACAGAAAGTTCTTCTCAGACTGACCAGGGAGCCCCAGGCCAGGGTGAGGGGAGGAGAAGGGAAATAAGGCAGCAGCCAGCTCCTCAGGGAGAGAAGGGCTCCTCACCTGGGGCAGGGGGTTCAACAGTGGAAAGAATGAACCAAAAGTCCCGTTTTTGTCATCTGGATAGGGTTGGAACAAAGGAATCGAGGCTGAACCCTAAATGAAGTCTGATTCGGGCCATCCCAGCCCCCTTGGGCTATCCCAGCACCTGCAATCTTGGTGGCCACAGGGCCACAGTCCCGCCTCAGCAGCGTGTGTTTTCCTAGCTCGTCCAGGACTTCAAAGGTGCAGAGCTGGAGGGAGTGGAGGAAACCAGTCTGGGGTCCATGGCTAGGTGGCGCTGGAGCCTCCTCAGATGAGGATCACCCTCCAGGCCATGACCCCCACAGTGGGGAGGCGCGGCCAGCACCCGGACACCTTCCTTTTTATAACATGGTGACTGGCCCCCACGGCCAGGGAAGTGAGCTGGGTAGCTGTTGCCTCTGATCGCTTCCTTTTGGCTTGACTCATATTCCCAACTGCTGTCAGACTCAGTCGTGGGGGTGGGGGCAGCGGGCAGGGAATTGAGGAAGCCCCATCCTCACTCACCAGGGTTTTTTCAGAGACAGGGAGCTGACACATCACGGGATCGTTGCAGGGCGGCTCCAGCAGCGTCGCCTTCAGGGAGTACAGCGACCCCCGGCCCGCCTGGTTGGAGGGACGGGTGGGGCGGTGAGGCGGGCATGGCTAGTCCCTCCTTAACCCGTCCTTCATCGGTCCCACAGCTCCACCGCGCCTCCCCCTTCCCAATCACCAGAGGTGTCCCAGCCATCCAGTGCCCCCACTCTTAAGTCTAGGCCAAGGTTCCAATCCCTCAGACTAGAGCCCCGCGCCTCCGCCCCGCTGCCTTCTCACTTGACGGACACGACCGCTCACTGCTCCCAACACGGCCCGCATCTCCGCGACCCGGCCGCGGTTGTATGTCTCCAGGGCGAAGCGAGCGGGCCGTAGCAGCTCGGGGGATGCGGGCTCCCAGGCCTGAGCGCCGGCAGCTCCGCGGGGCGGTGCGGAGGCAGCGCCCGGAAGCAGCACCAGCAATGACACCAGAGTCAGCCAGGAAGCCATGGCAAGAGTGAAGCGGGCGTCCGGGACGCAAGGACTGCTCGGATCAACCGACGGGGCGGAGCACCTCGTAGGCAGAAGATCCTGGGTCCCTCCCCAGCTCCCGGGGCGCCGCCCGCCAATGGGCCTCCACCAGGCGCGCCTGCGCGCTTTCTTGTTTACGCCAGGCACGTGGGGCGCTCTCGCTGCTCAGGCGGGTGGGCTCCAGTGTGGCTGGAACTAATTCGTCCATTACCCAGGCAGCGCCTGCAAGCACCTGGCTTGAACCCCATCCTGGGAATATTTCTCTTATGTCTTTGGAGCTGGCCTGAGAATAAAAATAATAACTAACATTTATTGCATGCTTATTGTATGTTAACATATAATCATAGCAGTCCTGTGAAATTGATGTGATCCCAACTTAATAATTAAGGACATAGAGGCTTAGAGAGATTAGGAGGTTTCCCAAACATTGGATAAGTGATGGAGCTGGGCTTGAACCCTGGGAGTTGGCCTTAGAGCCTGGTCACAGCTTGATTCCTCCTTGAGGCCCCTCTTCTCATCAGCAAAATGGCAGGTAATATTCCCTGGACTGGCAGCTCCTCAGGCTGTTGTGAGGGTCGAAAGCAACCATGCAAGCATTCGATTCTCAGGGCCTAGCAAGAGGAGGTGTTAGATAGGACAAGGGGTCATTCTTACTAAATGCTATTCTTGCTAAGTATTGAAATATAGGACAGTAATTTGCAGGCCAGCTGTAAAGAGGATGAGCTTGACGGGAACCCAATCCAGTAAGTGTAGCCAACTGAAAGCAACCAGTAATTGACCAAATAGTGAATGTAAGCAATGGCTAAGCCTCTTTTCCAGGCAGACAGAGATTTGAGTATGAATCCCATCTTCTTTATTTGCCCGGAGTGAGTAAAACTACCTTGCAACAACCGGCAACCACGTCTCCTTGAACAGAGCGTCCCAAGCGCGAATCCCTTGAGTCGGGTAACAGGGGCATAAGAAGTTACATTAGGCATAGTGCTGCCTACTTGAGCTCACAGTCTAGTGAAGAGATAGATGAAAAAAAGAAATTTTCTTGCATGTTTCAAGCTGAGGGAGAGGAAACAGGGAAGAGAGAGTTTAAGGGAATTGGAGGAAGCACAGAGGGTTAGTTTGAGCTTGGAGAGTGGGAAAAAACTGATAGTAAAATCATCTAGTCCAAACCTGCCTTTTTGCAGCAGCAGGGATCCAGAGAGCTGAACTGACTTTCCAGATACTCAGAAGAGAGTGCTGGAGCCAGACCAGAGCCAGCTGTGAGCTCCCAGCGGAGGTCTGAGTGAGGAGGGCCCGAGGACTTCCAGCAGATGCTGATCTCTTCTCGCTGGTGCCCTTTCCCATTTAAGGTCTTTGAGGCCCCTCTTATCTCCTTACAAGAGACAGCCAGATATAGCCTCTGGATTAGTCAAAGGTGGGAATCCTCTATATGACCAGTGCTTTGAATACTGGATATCAGGTGGTCTGGATAGTGAACATTCTTTCCTTAGCCCTTCAGGGTGTAATCAGGGGGTTATCCAGAGGTTTGATGTATAGCCAGGGATTGACGCAGGACTGGAACATTCAAAAGTTTAAGTTCCCAGGTTAGTTAAAGCAAGAACAGGGTGGTTTCCTTTTACCTCAACCTACTTGATTTTAGTAATTTCGCTGCTTGACTACAGTGAGTCCATTTTATTTCTTGAGTACACTCTAGTCCTCTCCTAGTTATCTTTTGCTTTTGAAGCTCCTCTTCTCCCTCCCACCTCTAAGTTGTCTAGAATCCTCAGTAATTTATTTAGTCCAGAGGAGCGAGCTGGTTTCTGAGGGCAGTGGGAAATATCTCAATAGGTATATTGCATCAAATGGAGAGTACTTTGAAGGTGACTGAAGTGTAAATATGTAGGAATAAATACACAATTTTTTATAAATACATTCTGTTTTTGGGGGTCCCCGTTGTTTTCAGTAAGTTCCCTGTAGCTGCTGTGTGGAAATAGATTATTGGAGGCAAGGGTGGATCTGGTCAGGCAAGCAATGATGGTGGGTTGGCCCTGAGCGGTGGCCGTGGAAATAGAGAAAAAAGGACAAATTTGGGAAATATCAGGAGGTAGACTCCAGAGCACTTGGAGATGGGTTTGATGTGGGACATGAAGGAAAGAGAAGAATCAAGGACACTTCGGGTTCAGGGGTAACAGTAGGGCTGGTGTCTGAGGGCAGAGTCTGTGATCTGACCACCTTTCCCACCATGCCGGAAACTGGAGTCTGGAGTCCATTGCCGTTTTGACCTTTCACCATCACAGGGTGGCGCTGTTGAGGTTTGGTCCTGCTGTACTTGGGAGTGTCCGAGCCCTGAAAGAAGCTGGGGCGCTCTCTCTGTGCTCTTCTGTCCCTCAGGAAGCCACTGGCCTGCAAAGCACAGCTGCTGGGACAGGAAGGTAAGGATAGAGAAGACTACAGCATCACTGGACAAAAATCATCCCTAATCTATAGACATCCCTTACATGCAGCTAAAAATTAAAGAGGTGAGCTCTGGCCTCTTGGCTTCACACCACCTACTTGACATCAACTCTTTGATATCAAACTTAGGCCAAACTGCTTATTTTTTCGTCCCCAGGAATCCCTCACCTCAGCATGTGGCATCACTGTTACTCCCGAACCCAAAGTGTCCTTGATTCTTCTCTTTCCTTCATGTCCCACATCAAACCCATCTCCAAGTGCTCTGGAGTCTACCTCCTGATATTTCCCAAATTTGTCCTTTTTTCTCTATTCCCACGGCCACCGCTCAGGGCCAACCCACCATCATTGCTTGCCTGACCAGATCCACCCTTGCCTCCAATAATCTATTTCCACACAGCAGCTACAGGGAACTTACTGAAAACAACAGGGACCCCAGAAACAGAACGCATTTATAAAAAATTGTGTATTTATTCCTACATATTTACACTTCAGTCACCTTCAAAGTACTCTCCATTTGATGCAATATACCTCTTGAGACATTTCCCGCTTCTCAAAACAGTTTTTGAACTCGTCAATTTGATGCTTCTGCCATTTTTTTTTTTTTTTTTTTTTGGTCTTCCACATTGGCAAAACATTTCCTTTTGAAGACTTTTTTCATCCAAGGAAATAAAGAAAAGTCACTGGAGTGAGATCAGTTGAATAGGGAGGATGGGGCAGGGGGGGTCATGCCATTTTTGGTCAGAAACTGCTGAACCCTAAGCACGATGTGCGCAGGTGCACTCGTAAATCACCCATCATGAAATGGGCAAACGCGTTTGAAAAAGTCCTCAAAAAATTCACTGAAGCTGAACACAGCCTCTCACAACACCACCAACTGGTACACTGATACAGATAGGTTCCTAGAACACTCACCTACCAAGGCAAGCCTGTCCTATGAGGGGCCTGCCCTCCAGAAGGTAATGCCATTGTTTTATGGGTCCCCCCTCATATAACCTGGGCCAGGGGCGGGCTGTGGTGCACTGACTGGATCCGCCTTCAAGGGTGGACTTGGTATCCAGCTACTAGCAGGGCTGCCCTTGGCTGTCGGCCTCTTGGGGGTTGACACAGAGCCCTGCCCCCTTTCCCTCGGAGCTGTGTGAAGTGACAAATCTGAAGGACTTCCCGCTGGGTCAGGGAAGTTGTCCACTGAGACCACTGAGACTGCGTGGCAGCTCAAGGCCTCCCTCTGCCTAGGTGTTGGCCCTGAGAGCCCTCCTACCTGGCCTCCTGCCAGTCTTCATTTCAGAGCAATGCCTAACTCAGCAGTATTAGGCAAACTTTGCATTTTCTGATTAATAGGTTTTTAAAAATATCAGTAAGCGTATGTTTGGTAAAATTTTAAACAAAGCATTCCTATACATGTTTTAGGCCATTGACTGATACTTTCCAGCGAAAAATAGCCTAGACAATTACAAGTTTGTGATATCAGAGCAGCTACATAAGACATGTGTGTATAGGTATGCTGTTCAAAGACAATTCCTATCCTTAGCAGAATTTCTTTGGAGTCTAATAAGCAAAACTTTGCATCTGGGTGAATCCCCACTCGGATGCTCTGAGACACCTCAAACTTCACCTTTTAAGGGATGAACTCTCGCCATCTTCCCCTGCCCCGTTGCACCCTATTCCCACCAGGCCCTCCACCCTCCCATTTTATGAGGAGTTCCACCAGAGGCCCACGCCGGACACCCAGCAGGTGTCCCTGGCTCTCTGCCCTCACTCCCCACATCCAGTCCCCACCAATGCTGCCAAATTGGCCTCCTTAGCACCCCGTCCCTGCTCCCACTGGGGCAGCCTCGGCCGGCTCTGCTTACCCTCAGCCTGGCAGCCTCCTAACCATCACCACGGTGCAGCCAAATGTCGCCTCTGAGACTAAATACAGCCTGTTAAAACCCCATTGTTCCTCTGACCTAATTCCCAAGCAATCACCACATGGTTTGCCCCATTGGTCCCCTCAGCCCCATCAGACCCTCGCCCACAGCAGGGCTTTGGCCCTTCCATGAACTCCAGCCGGGGACGTTCTTTCCCCCAATAGCATGCAGCTCTTCCCACTCTTCCCAGTGTTTTTTCAAATACTCTCTCTTCTGATGCCTATTTGAAACTGCCAGTCTCTGAGCTTTTTCTTGCCCTTTCCGCTTCTCCCCCTGCCATGTGTCACCACCTCACATACCGTTTGTTTCATCTATATGGCTGTTGTGTCTCCCCCACTGGAACATAAGGGGTCTTTCAGGGGCCTGGGCTCTGAGGCCCCTGCCTGGGTAGCAAAAGGGCTGCAGCCAATCATCCCGGTCCAGATGGATTGTCTGACGGCCTCTGGGTCCAGGGTAGGCACAAAACTAAAACTTCCACAAAAATCCTCAGTAACTTAGAGAACAATTTTTTGAAAAGATTTTATTCTTTCATGTTTAGAGAGAGGGAAAGGGAGGGAGAAAGAAAGGGAGAGAAACATCAATGTGCGAGAGAGAGATGGATCATTTGCCTCTGGCGCACCTCCAGCTGGAGACCTGGCCCGCAACCCAGGCATGAGCTGTGGCTGGGATTCCCCGCGGCAGCCTTTCAGTTAGCAGGCCATCGCTCAGTCCGCCGAGCTGCAGCAGCCAGGGCAAGGATCAGTTTTCATTCAATTGTCCTAGAGTCCCATTTCTCCAAAGGGAGGTAACAATGCCTTCTTTTTCTTTGCAAGATTGTTGTGAGAAGTAAATGAAATGATATCCTGAGAGCACCTGAATGTGACACTTGGCAAACAGGTCGTTCTCAACACAACTGAGTTGGCTGAGTTGGGACCAGGGGCCTCTGGCTGCATGGAGGCTTGGCACGGAGCTGGGCCACTGCCATAGCCAGCACCCCAGGACAAAGGAGGTGAAGTCCCCAGACCTGGGCTTAAGTCTCGACTCCATCACTTCAGAGGTAAGTTACATTCCACTAATTCTCAGCTGAATGAATGCGAAAAGCACCTTGTAATCAGCAAAGCACAGATCCACAATAGTTAACATTATTATATTCACCAACCCCATAAATGGGATCAGCAGCCGTCACAGGTTTAGGTGTGGGACTTTGGGAAAGCTGGTCCTGGAATTAGTTTACTATGCAACACACTACACCACGCTTCCTTGTCTTACTCCTCCTGAGCATTTGCCTTTTAAAGAGGCTGATGCTGTTGCACTTTGGTTAGCAAACGGCAACCTGAGGGCCAAATCCAGCCAGCTGCTTGCTATGGAAATAAAGTTTTTTGGAACACGGCTCTGTCCGTTTACTTATGTATTATCTGTAATAGCTTTCACACAACGAAAACCTTGTGACAGAGACTATATTGCTCACAAAGCTCAAAATATTTTACTATCTGAGCCCAAAATATTTCACTATCTGATCCTCCACAGAAAAAGTATGCGGACCTGTGCTGTATGGTTTCTCACCCAGGTTATATGTAACTTCTGGAGACTGCAGCAGCATGTCAGGAGCGGAGCCAAAATATAGATGCTAAATATAGCATATCTGCCCAAGGGACAGTTTAATTCAAAGTAGTTTCAAGTATCATTTTTATATTAAAATAAATATGCACATATTATAGTGTAGAATGCAAGTTTTGCATAAATTCCAAAACTAAAAGACTTTAAAGAAATTCCTCTCATGCTTTCAGGCCAGCACTGCCCCGCTCTGCTCCCTCTGCCCTCCAGTCCCTCATACCTGAGCAAGATGCTTGTTTATGTTCTTCCATTCAAAGGGGAACTTGGGTGGACAAGTTTGAAAAATTCTGTTTAATTGAAAAAATAAAACAAAGTGGAAGTTTATGTGCCAAGCAAATGGTGAGTGGAGGAGATCTGAGGGTTTCTCATTGCCTGTGCCAGCAGGCAGGCTGTGTCTAAGAGCTCTTATCACCCCGTCTCACAGAATCAGGACACCGAGAAGACACACGTAGGCTTCTCAGTGAGACAGACTGGGGCTTGGGTCCTGGTTCTCCAATTTACTACCTTTGTGGCCCTGGGTAAGTTACTTTACCTGCCTGAGCCTTCATTTCCTTAGCTGTAAAATGGTGATTAAAATATATTCTACTTCGGTCTTGGCTGGTGTGACTCAGTGGATTGAGCACCAGACTGAGAAGCAAAGGGTCACTGGTTTGATTCCCAGTCAGGGCACATGCCTGGGTTGTAAGCCAGGTCTCCAATAGGGGGCACATGAGAGGCAACCACACATTGATGTTCCTCTCCCTCTCTTTCTCCCTCCCCCTCAAAATAAATAAATAAAATCTTTAAAAGTACATATATATATATATATATGTACTACTTCACAAGTGGTTATGAGGAGTCTAAGAAATCATGCAAGGAAAGTGTTCTGCTCAAGGTAACTACTGACATGTTGGCTAAATTTCCTAAATATATAAGGAGTGTTGAAAAATCAAGAAAATAAAATAGTCAAAATCAATTGAAAAGTGGGCAAAGGCACAAGCATTTTACAGACAAGGAAATAAAAATAGCTTTTGAATGAAAGATGCAGCCTTACTCATAAAAGAAATGAGAACACAGCTCCAATGAGGTACCATTTTTCACCTACTAGATGGTAAAACTTAAAAAATTTGGTAACACTGTTGCTGAGAGTGGGAAAAGAAGTATAGGCATACAATGCTGATGATAATGCAAATTGTGGATAGGAGTCAGTAATGTCTATCAAAATTACAAGTGCTTATGCTTAAACATAATTCTACTTTCAGGAATTTAAATCATAGAAATAGTGGCAATTCTAAATAGATGAACAAGGATGATTTTAGAGTATTGTTTTTTGTTTGTAAAGGTCCAGTAGTAAGGGACTAGTTCAATAAAATAAAAATACACAGTGGAATACTATGTAGCTATCAAAAAGAATAAGGCAGCTCTGTGTGTGTTGATATGGAATGTGTTTGAGGCATGTTATATGAAAAAAGCAAAGCAAAGCAGGGGTACAGCATGCTACCATTCATGTGGTTATAGACATGGTTAATATATACACATATGCTCATATGTCTGTAGGCTGCCTCTGACCTGGATGATACAATGAACTATGAGGTCTTACATAATCTAACTTGCCCCTTGGCGCCTAGTCATGACCCCTCTGACTCATCTCTCCCCTAGCTCTGCTTTACCAGTGACTCTGGCCACCTTCCTTTTCTGAGACACCACAGGCATCCGCCTGCCTTAGGGCTTTTCAATGGCTGTCAGGTAAGTTTTTGTCCTAAATGTCCGCGGGGCTCGCTTCTTCCCTTCCTTCAACCCTTTGCTCAAATCCTACCTTCCCACTGAGGCCTATACTGACAACCCTAATTAAAACCACATCCCTCACCCTTTATTTCCTCTTACCTTACTCTTTTTCTTTTTTCCACAGTACTTATCAGCTGCTAATATTTTATTATTCAGTGTACTTAGGTGCTTTGTTTATGGTTTATTTTTTTCCTTCCAGTGGAATGTAAACTCTACAAAGGGTAAGCATCTTTGTTTTGTGCAGTGATATAAACCAAGCATAAAATACTTAGAAGGTACTCAATAATTACTTGCTGAATAAGGGAATGGAAAGATACACAAGGCCCTGGTAACAGTTATTAGCCACAGGCAGAGGAACTGAGGTACTAGGGCTAAGGCTGGAAAGGAGACTTACTTTTCAGGACATACCCTTGTGTACTTTGTACCATGTGCTTGCACTAACTGGTAAAAAAATTAATAAAATTTTTATGCTAGGACTGGGAGAAGTGACAACCTAGATTCGACCCCTCACCTAACATATTAAAGTCCAAGTGCAGAGCAGTTAAGTAATTTGCCCAAGGTTACACAGCCAGGATTTAAACTCACATCTACTAACTCCAGAGCCCTAGCTCTTAACCATTATGCTGCAGAGCCTTTTGATTTGGATCTCTAACAGCCAATTTAATGTAGCGTGATAGAAATGCCAAGGTATTCCAAAGGTGATGGTTTGCCTCTGTCTGATATTTTCCATTGCAACGAACTCCAGGGGATGGTCCCAGTTCTTTTTGATACATGAGATTTTGGCTGTATTGTGTGCAGCTTGACATAAATGGGAATACCGGTCTTGGGGACTCTTTTCTGAGAATTGCACTGTCAAAATAAAGTGTTAATCTCAGTGCCTTGGTAGTTGGAAGCACAGTGTTCCTGAAACCTGCACTCCCAGCTATTTCTTCTTCCCAGGCAGTCAAGGGGTCTGGATGGAGGTGCTGGATGCTGGGGGCTGAGGGAGGGGCCTGAAGGCACTTGGCCTGGGAGTATTCCCAGGGGCTATTAAATGTGGGCTGCTGAGCCTTCCGAACATGGCTGACTGGTGGGAGGCCTTCTGGGCCCGGACTATGTCGTGCACCCGCCGCCACTGCTGCAGCCAGTAGAGCATCTCCACTTTGTCATGCTTCATCTTGTCCAGGTAGCGCCGGCCCTTGAAAGTCACTGGCTCACCAAAGATTAACTCAACCTCCTTCAGGAGCGAAACCAAAGGCGCCTCCGTGAGACTGAGCTGCCTGTGTAGACGGTTGCGGATCTGATTTTCCTCTAGGAAGCGACTCAGTCTTGTGCCATCCTTTTGGAAGAAACGGTTGGGGTCAGAGGCTTGTCGCTCAAACCACTCCAGTTTCCCCAGCAACATCTCCCGCAGCTGAATGGGCTGCAGGGTCTGCTCCCAGGCACTCACCAATGAAGGCAGCTGCCTCAGACGGGTGTTAGAGCTGTACTTGATGGCCATGTCCAGCCGGTCCTTGTCAGGAACCTCAAGCACGGACCACAGCCGCTCCAGACGCTTCTGCAGGCTGAGGATTTTATGGGGTTCTCCCAGGAGGTTGGTCCTCTTAGTTTCTAGACTGTGCCCCAGAACTGTGTTCCAATCCCACTCTCCTGGCACAAAGTCTGGCTCTTCATCTTCTAGCAATGGAGGTGGGTGCTGAATCTTTAAGGAGTCTTGGACAGGGGCTAAGATCTCCACAGGAACCTCCTCTTCATACATTTGGAAGATGACATGGAGGAAATCTGTCTCCTGGCTGGCGAGGTAATTGAAATAGTGATCCACAGACAAGCTGGTTTTCCACCAGTTTATCCCTGAGGTCTTGTTTGATGGCCCCTCCCGGCCTTTGCTTGCTTGGAGTGATGTGAGGGAGGATACCCTATCAGGGTTGGACTCTGAAGTGTTTGCTCTCTGGGAATAAAGACCAGCCAGCTTGGAGTTGATGACATGATACTGTTTTTCTTGACGCAGAAAGGCTGAGAACAGGAACATTGACCAGTCTTTACTGGCTGCAGGCTCAATCAAGGGTCCCTTGTCAAAAGAGAAGTGGTCAGTAGAGACACTGCTCATCAGCTCCTTGTAGACCTCCTGGATGCTATTACCAACAAAGTGATCAATATCCATTTTCTCGATAAGTCTGGGTTCCAGTTCACCAGCCAGGTGGTTGTATAGGGCTCTGGTTCCCTCAACGTGGAAGGAATCCAAAAACTTTCTCTCCGAGATCTGTACACCAGCTGCCTGGACCACAACCTGATTTCTTAGCTTCAAAGTAACAGTCATTGGCTGTGGATAAAGCGGAAGGGATTTGGGGGGCTGGGGATCCCACTGCCCAGAGGCTTCTTCTTTCTCATTCAGCATCCTCTGCAGCTCTTCCATGCAATGTGTTGCAGCTGAGTGGTGGGTCTGGGCCCCCAGGAGTGGGGGCACGCCTGAGTCTATTGGTGAGTAGCGCGTCCACTCCAGTTTCATGTTCTTCATTATCTGCTTCAGGTCCTCAGCCACCATGTCCCCCACGAGCTCTGGTTTGCTCTCTGCAAACAGGACCAACGGGGTTACCGGACGAGGCGGGAGTGGAGGAAGACCCAATTCATCTGCTAGATTCCAGCCTTCCTGCAGAGAGGGCATGGACTGGCCCTTCTGGAGGTGGGAGGGGAGAGGCAAATGGGAAGTGGGGGAAGACCCGCTGGTGAGAGCTACCGAGTACCTGGGCAGCGACACAATCTGTGAGGAAGTGAAGCTTTCTCTCTTTTTTTGCATGGCGGGCAGCCAGGGGAGAGGCTTTCGCCTCCTCAGCTGGGGGATGGACTTCAATTCCTTCACTGGATCGGGTGCAGTCTCATTGAGAAACTGAGGACAGCGACTGAGCTGGATGAGATAGTTCAGGTTGAGGTGGCAGCATGGCAACTGGGAGAAGCGGGAGCTGGGGGGACGTGCTCTGACAGCCCCAGGGGGGCCGATGGGGCGCAGCTTGAATATGCCGCCCTGAGCCTCCTCTACTTTCAGCAAGGCGTTGAAGTCGGCGAGAAGGCCACGGTAGACCTCGGGGCTGGTGAGGAAGACAGTGCAGTCCCTGGTGAGGCCGGCGGCCAACCGGGTGAGTGTGGCTGATTCAGTGAAGACAAACGAGGAGGTCGACCTGATCTTCAGCAGGTGCAGGTAGTGTAAGAAGAGCTGCTCGCAGGTGAGCAGCACGTAAACCAGGAGCCGCTTCCGCAGCCTCAGGTTGTTCACGTGGCTCAGACTAGGTTCGCTGGGAGGCTCCTGCCAGCTGCACTTCAGCTCGTCCAAGATGACCTCTGTGAAACGGAGTCGGCCCTCAGGAGGCATCTGCTCCTCCAGCCCACAGCTGGCCAGCCGCTCGGCCACCTGGCGGCACAGCGACGCCACCGTCAGCCGCGAGACTGGCAGAGAGGGTAGCGTCGGGACCTCTCGCAGGAGACGTTTCTGAGACTCTGGGAATGTCACCCTGCTGGGGAAGAGGGACAGCGGACGCAGTAACCGGTGGTAAAACTGCTGGAGCTCGGGTTCCGGTTTAAAAGGCTCCATTTTAGCGCTGGAGGCGCCAGTTGTAGCAACAGAGGCAGCCAAGCGGTTACTAAGGCAACCAGGAACCAACAGCCAGAGTGCGCCTGCGCGGCTTGTGCGGCCGAACGGTATTCGAGAGAAGGGGAGGGAGTGAGGGCCGGGCCTTGCGTGCGCGCGCACCAGAAGGCGGGGCAAAGCCTGGCTTCTGAGGCTCTGCCGCCTCGGGGACTGGGCGCTGGGTTTCCGCTATAGGACTCTAGCAGTTCAGGTCCTCTGGCCAGTGGCTGGGTTCGAGATGGCATCGGACTCGGGGGACCGTGCGGCTGCTTGCACGGTGAGGGTCGAAGCCTCTTGTGGGAGCCTCGCGACGCAGAGAGCCTTGACCTCTGGGGGTGATCGTTAACTCGAGAAGTGGGGAAGAAGCGGGCACCAGGGGCGCGGCCTGGGGCCGCGTCGTTAAGGAGTGCGAGAGTAGCAGGGTCTTTGGCGTTGATGTTGGAAGGCGTTGGTCCTGAAATGAGTAATAATGAAGAAGGCACTTCAGAAGGGGTCACGTGGGGCATTTCCCCACGCCTTTGGAAGCCTTTGGAATAGTCGTAGGGAAGGTAGTGAGGCAGGTTCACACAAGAGGGGTTCCCATCTCTCATCGGTCGGTCCCTGCCTCACTTGCAGCTGGAGTTCGCCGTGCAGATGACCTGTCAGAGCTGTGTGGACGCGGTGCGCAAGTCCCTGCAAGGAGTGGCAGGTAAGAGCCAGATAAATTTCCTGTGGACCGTCCAGAGGCCTCTGGGAGAGGCAGGCAAATCTCGTAGACCAACCGTACTCTCATTTTACAGATGTAGAAATTGAGACCCAGAGAGAGGAAAGAATGTTCTCAGAGTCACACAGAGCCCCAGGAGCAGAGCCTGGAGTACAGGTCTCAAGCCTGCCCTGCCAGCAACTGCCTGTCCTTCTGGCGTCTTAAACCTCAGGTGTCTGGAGAATAAGGGGCTAGGCTGAGTATAGCTGCCCCTACTAAAGACATTCCCTGGAAAATAAGCGCTTTTTGCTTGTGAAACAGCATGATCTTGACAAAGCAAACAGCAGCCCTGGCCATGTTCCATCCTAGGCAGCTCCTGATTCTTAAAAGTCAGCTAGCTAGCTGGTCTGGAGGTGACCTGCACAACCGGAAAGATCTGAGAAGGCAGAGCCACCATCATGGCACTGGGAACTACCTTCCTTTGATTCTGTTAAATGTTCATCCAGTCGTTCAGGATCTATAGACCAGGCACTGGGGGCTTTTCAGGGAGAAAGGTTCACAAGTGTTTCGGGCACAGCCCTGGCTCAGGTAAAGATGAGCACACAAGCGTTACTCCTGGAAGAGCAGGTCTGGGAAGAGGTGAGGTGAGATGGGCTCTAAAGCTGGGACAGTGGCGACACTCTGTACGGGCTCTGTACAGGGCAGAATGTGTCACATCTGTTCGGGGTATGTGTTCTAGAGTTAGACTCTTTGGGTTCAGATCCCCTCTTAGCCACTTGGTGGCACTGAGACGTATGGACGCTACCTTTTGTGCCTCTGTTTCTTCAGCGTTTCAGTGGATATAAGAATGGAAGCTACTCCGGAGGATTGTCCCAAAGAGTAAATTAGTTAATTAGCACTTTAGAAAAGTGCTTTGGCATGGGGTATGAGCACATAAATCCTAGGAATTATAAGAGGAAGAGCTTACATGTGGTAACCTGGGTGGGCAGAGGCAGGAGGTCTTGAAGCTGGGTTTGCCGTATGTTTGGCAGTGATGGGCCAGGGTCTCAGGAGACTGAGCGAGTGTGGGGCCTTGACCCAAGCTTTCCAAGGATGTTGGGCTTCCCACTTCCTGTAAACATTCTCGCTGGGAGAGCAGACAGCTAGACTTCTTGTTAGACACAGCAGTTTTTCACCCTCAGTAGGTTTCTTAGGCACAGAAAAAGACCTCTGGTGACTACATTTTCTGTTTCGGGTGACTGGAACCAGTTTGGCTTTTTCATGGGCTGAGGGGAGAGGGATTTGTTCTTTTCGGGGGCCTGGGGCTTTGGAGAATCCTCCTCCCAGGTACAAGTGGGAGGAACTCCCAGCCCAAGGCTCACTTTTTTGAGCCCTTATCACGCACCCTGGAGTTCACTGTGGGCTTATCTTTTCTCTTTCACTGGGTTCTGAGCTGAATAAGGGCTGGTTTGGCCACCCTCTGGGCTGTGCCTGCAACATTGAACTGCTGCTTAGCTGGAGGGCCAGCTTTCTGGGCTCAGACTCAGGTCAGGAGTTCAGGAAGTACATAGTTGCAAAGAGCTTCCCATTCGGAGCCCTCTCACTTCAGGAGTAAGAGAATCAGCTCTTCTTAGGAGACCCCAGATAGGAACCCACCTGCCCTGAAGCTCATCTGTCATAAAGTTTTGTCTACTGTATGTCTAAAATGTACTCAGAATCCAGCCTCTCTTCTTCCATACTTGGCCTTTGCACCAATCCAAGCCACCTCACCTCTCCCAGACCCAGACAAGAGCTTCATCTTTGGGCTCCTTCTTGCCTCTTTTGGCCCCTCTAATAGGTTTTCCATATAAAAGCTAGAGTGGCTGCTGTGGCTTGGTTGGTTGGAACGTCATCCCATAACTGAAAGGTTGCAGGTTCTATTCCCCAGTCCAGGTGCATATGATCCCAGGTCACAGCCTGTGTGATCCTTGGTTCAGTGGCGTACAGTCCAGTGACATACAGTCTGGGCACATATGGGAGGCAGCTGATCGATGTTTCTCTCTCATACATGCTTCTCTCCCTTTCTCTCTCTCTAAAAGCAATGAAAAAAAATGTACTCAGGTGAGGATATTAAAAAAAAAAAAAAAAAGAAGCAAGAGTGGTTCTTGAAATCATACATTAGATAACGTAGCTTCCCTGTCTAAAATCTTCTAGAAGTAATAATGTTTGAGAGCCTCCCATGGGCCAGGCACTGTTTTAAGTGCTATATATGAATAACTCATTTAGGTCTTCAATAAGCCTCTGAAGTAGATAGTAATAGTATCTCCATTTGTATGTGAAGAATCTGAATAGAAATTTCAACAGAAACGTTAAGTAACATGTCTAAGGCCACACAGCCAGTATGTGGCCAACTCAGGATTTCAGCTCCAGGGCCCAGACTCTCCACCACCGTCTACTACAGCCTCTCCCAGTGGCTTCCGGTGGCATTAAAGTTAAGGTCTAGATTCAGCTCCATCCATACTGTTGCAAAGGTAAAATTTTCTTCTTTTTTATGGCCAAGGAGTATTCCATTGTGTAAATGTCCCACAGTTGTTCTATCTACTCATCTACTGCTGGACACTTGGGCTGCTTCCATACCGTGGCCATTGTAAATAACACTGCAATGAACATGGGGGTGCTTATGTTCTTTTGCATTAGCGTTCTGGGTTCCTTTGGATATATTCCCAGAAGGTCTACCAAGCTTTGTGACCTGAAGCTAGTTGTGTAACTTTCTGGTTTCATTTCCTCACCCGCCAGAGGAGGACAGTATCACCGCCCTGATGTGTGCAAAGCAGAGCACACAGCTCTTGTCATACCCTGCAGGCTCGGGCCGCAAGAGTTCCCTGCCATCCTCCCCACAGTCCCTTTGTATCCAGAGGCACCTCTGTGTGGACCCGGAACTTCCAAGGCATCACAGGCTCCTGGGTGGCCCAGGATGAGATATTGTGTGAAGCGAGGGACAGTTTGGTTATTTGGAGGGTTTCCTTTTCACAGAATTGCCTTGTTCTTTTTTTTAAGAGAATTTTTATGAGTTTGAGTCAAGCTGATGACATGACGTGGTGGGAAGCAAGATCGCAAATGCTCCCAGAACTGCCTTGCTCTTGCAGGGAGGAGATGGGTGTGCCTGCCTGGCCTCTTGCACATTCTGCCTGCCCTGAGCAGGGGCAGGGAGGCTGCCAATGAGACCTCCATAGCCACAAGCCAAATATTCCTGTCTCTCAGGGGCTGCATCTTCCCGGTCGCATTTCCCAGTTTCGCCTCCTTTGAACAGCGAGGAATCTGAACCTTGGGAATTGTTATTCTCTTGCCTGCCTGATGGTTAACCCAGGTGTAGCCTGAGTTCTCCCACAGCCTGTGAGCTCCCTAAGCACTAGGAGCAGCGCTTTTCCTGACCCTGGCCTCCTCCATGCCAAGCACACATTTGTTTAAAGGATACGGAGAAGGGAAACCAAGGTTGAAGGGAAGGCCAATGGTCCATGTAGCATTCAGTTCGCGGAGCTCTAGCTGAACGAGGTATGACACACCTCATTTAACCTGTGTGTCTGGCCCGCCCACGGGGCCCCTGGGCTTTACCCCACAGGGCAACAAACACTGAGATCAAAGCAGAATGATGATAAGCCCTACAGGTAAGAGCAGCATTTAGAGTTCCTAGCTCATCCCCTCTGTACTGGCTGAGGATTCAAGAGTTCCCTTAAAAGGCATGGGAGCCCCAAATGCCTGAATGAAAGAGAAGCCCCTTTCTTCCTTCTGAGTTGGCTTAATGTTCGTCAAAGCTGAGCATGTGTCAGAATCATCCCACAGACTGTGTACACGCAGGGATGACTTCAGGGATTTGGGCGCCATTTGAGACACACTGACACTTGAACCTGACCCTTGTGGGACACACAGAACTGGCGCCCTCACAGAGGACTGGAGTCAGTGCAGCGAGTTACGCAGGGAAGTGGCAGCTGCTACAGCGGGGCAGAGGCGGGGTCCCGACCGGCCTGGAGGCTGGGGACTGCTCCTCAGGTGAGCAGCGTCCCAGTGAAATGCCTGGGCTCCGGAGCTAGGCTGCCTGGGATGAATTGTAGGTCCACCATTGACTACAGTGTGACTTTGAGCAAGTTTCTTAATTTCCCTGTGTCCAGCTCACCAGGATTGCTTGAGTGTGGAAGGGGTTACTACAGGCAAGGCACGGGGAAGCCCACAGCGCGTACTCAGGAAATGTTACCTCTCATAGTGATGGTGATATGAGCTTTAGTGAGACATAATTCATATATTACAAAATTTACCCATTTAAAGTATACAGTTCAATGGTTTGGGGGGGAGCTTAAGGGGGTTAAATGGTAATGGAAAAATACAATAAAAAATAAACACATAAAAACAAAAAGTATACAGTTCAGTGGTTTTTAGTATATTCACAGAGCTGTGCAATCATCACCACTATCAATTTTATATTTTACCACCTCATGAAGGAATTGAACCCTTTGCTATCACTCTCCTATTACCCTTTGCCCTGATCTGCTCTCTGTCCTTATAGATTTGCCTATTCTGGGCATTTCCTCCAGAATGGCATCATCTAATATGTGGCCTTTTGTGACTGGCTTTCCCATAACAAAGATTTCAGCGTTCATCCATGTTGTGGCACCTACCAGCACTTTGTTCCTTTTTATGGCTTAACAGTACTTCGCTGTATTGAAATAACACATTTTGTTTATCCATTCAGCAGTGGATGGCCATTTGGGTTGTTTTCACCGTTGGCTATTATGAATAATGTGGGTCTGATAGCCCGCTTTTATAGAAACATTTTTAAAAGAATTATCTGTGTTTCAAAAGTTATAAATAATGCCTGGCATGTCATAGGGACTCACAACAATCCTGGGGATGAGGTGACATCACCCCCACTTTATTTATAAAGGAACAGCCTCAGAGAGGTTAAGGGTCTTACAGAAGGCAGCTTCCAAGTGTGTCTCCTGCTGTGGGAGGCTGGTGCGGATGGGGATGGGGAGTCACCCCTGTTCCCCTCCTCCCTGTTCCCAGCGCAGGGTGCCAGCGCTCTGCTGCCCTCCGCCCCCTCTCCTCACAGGTGTCGAGAGTGTAGAGGTGCAGCTGGAGAACCAGATGGTCCTGGTGCAGACCACCCTGCCCAGCCAGGAGGTGCAGGCCCTCTTAGAAGGAACGGGGCGGCAGGCGGTACTCAAGGGCATGGGCAGCGGCCTTTTGCGTGAGTAACCACTGTGGCCTTGGCCTTGCCTTTCTGGGAGGGAGGTGGCCTGGGGCTGGTCTAAATCTAACCACAGGATTTTGTGGCTCTGGGCTGGGGAGGCTGTGGAGAAGGTGTGAAAGTTATGAAAGTTGTGTGGGGCTCTCCCCATGCCCTTCCTCAGCTGATGAAGGGCTGGGGCTGGGTGAGGTGGCAAGCCAACCCAGCTGCCCACTATCTTGCAGAGAATCTGGGGGCAGCAGTGGCCATTCTAGGGGGACCTGGCCCTGTGCAGGGGGTGGTGCGCTTCCTACAGCTAACCCCTGAGCGCTGCCTCATCGAGGGAAGCATTGACGGCCTGGAGCCTGGGCCACACGGACTCCACGTCCATCAGTTCGGGGACCTCACAAGGAACTGCAACAGGTAAGTCACCTGTGACCTCCCTTGTAGCATCCTCATCCCCCCCAGTTGTCTACCCACTATGTGTACGGGGCTGTATTCAGCCCTTAGGCACACTTTCACACTTTATGTTCCTCAAAAGAACCCTGTGAGGCACATACATACAGGCCTCGTCTACAGATGAGGGAACTGAGTGAGGCTCACAGAGGTTACATGATTTGTCAAAGGCCCCAGAGCAGGTAAATGGTTAGAGTGGGGATTTGAGCCAAAATCTGCCCGTGCAACTCCTGCTCATAGCTACCGTACTGCCTCTGAGGTGGACCCTTGGGCATGGGAGAGGCAGGTCCTCGTGTCATGGTGTTTGTCCTGTTATGATACTCTTAGTTGGTGACTCATTTGTGTCTCCCCTAGAAGGTTATTGAGGGCAGGACCCATGTTCGATTCCTCTTGATTTTATTTATTTATTTTTAGAGAGAGGAGAAGAGGGGGGAAAGAGAGGGAAACATGAAGAGATACATCAGTTGGTTGCCTCTTGCATATCCCCAACCAGGGACCTGGTCCACAACCCAGACATGTGCCCTGACTGGGAATTGAACCAGTGACCTTTCGGTTCTCAGGCTGGTGCTCAGCACACTGAGCCACACCAGCCAGGGCTCAATTCTTCTCAGTGCCCTCAATTCAAAGCCTAGCACAGAGTGGGCCTGTTTGTTGAATGAATGTATGAATGAATGAATGAGTGAATGAATGAATGAATGAAACAAATGTAATTAAAGTAACAAGATGGGTCACCTGGCCTGTGAGCTGCCGTTTCACTGCCCACCTGCCCACCTTTTATTCTTAGCTGTGGGGACCACTTTAACCCCGATGGAACATCTCACGGGGGCCCCCAGGACGCTGACCGGGTAAGTGTCCAACTGTGTGAGGCTTGGGCTGAGACGGCTGAGGCAGGGCAGGCAGTTCTTGGTGCCTTCAAGTGAGATTCCTTTTCGGTCACCACTTATTTTGTTCCAGTTACAAGCATTGACTGACACTTTGTGTGATCAAGGGCTGCCCCCAGGGGCTCACTGTCAGGTGGCGGGGACCACTGGGCACTCTGGCTGCACCGTATTGAGATGAGCCTGGCAGGAGGCCCTGCGAGCCCAGAGCCAGCACCCAGCACAGCCCGAGGGGCGCGGGCAGTGGGAAAGCTTCCTGGAGAAGTGACAGTGTAGGTTTTCCCTAATCCGAACAGACCATTCCGGCTGCCGCCACTCCTGGTCCTGGAATTTCATTTTCACCGGAAAAGCATTTTCCGGATGGACAGCAAGTCACGTGCTGCCTTAATGATTTTTGCCTTATCTGAGTACTGCTTGTTCTGTAAGTTAACTCAATGCTTTGATGTAAATGGACTCATTTTTTTTTCTTAAGTAAATTACAGTTATTCTTAGTGTCTCAATCTATCACAGAAAGTTTCCAAACATTCCAAAAATAGAAAAACTACCGTCCCGAACCCCCAGGTCCCTGTTATGCAGCTTCAGCGGTCACCACCTCATGGCCAGTCCCGTGGAACCTACACCCCTGGCCCCTTTTTCATCATTATTTTGAAGCAAAGCAAGACGATATTTTATGTAATTGAGGTAGATTGATTTTTTAATGAGAAGCTTGATATTGCACAGGGAATGGAAAACCAGTACTTCCAGCTTTAATAGGAGGATCATTGTAGAAATAAATCAGTGCAGGCTTAAAACATGTTCTGAGCCCTGCTAGGGACCGAGGAGGTGGCTTGATCTTTGTTTAAGTGATAGAGGTGTTGAAGACCTGTTAACACAAAATTGTCACTTTGTCCGGGACGTCAGACTGGGAGGATGGCCTCCCCTCCCTATGATTTGATGTTCCCCAGTTCCCTGTGTCACACTCCTGACACCTCTGCCTCTCTTCCCGTGGTGTGTGTTTCCCCTTCACACACACCATGTGGGACTCAGTACCAGGCAGGCTCTGGGTCCTGGTCCCAAGAGCTGGTGACTTGCCTTTACACTCTCCCAGGGCTCGCAGGCTTCCTTGGTTTTTATTTTCTATCTGGATGAAAGCTGGCATCCTTCTGCCACAAAACAAATGAGAACACGGTATGTGGTTTTGTTAATTCATGTAAGTGAGTGTTTGGGCTTTTGACAGCTCTGTCACCCCGCCCCCTGACCCCAAACCTGGAGAAAAGCCTTTCTGTTGGGTCCGTCACACAGTGCCACACTTGTGTTCAAGTGTATCAATTACCGCGAACCAAGTGAGTCCAAACCTAGGGGTTTAAAACAACAAGCTTTATCATCTCACAGTTTCTCTGGACACAGCTGAGCTGGGGGCCTCTCCCAGGCTGCAGCCACATCAAGGCTCGAGGTAGGGGATCTGCTCCCACCCTGCCTCATGTTGCTGTTGGCAGGCTCAGGCCTCCCTGGCTGTTGGCCAGACCTCAGTCCTTTGCCACACGGGCCTCCCCCTAGGGCAGCTCACAGCACGGCAGCTGGTGTCCCTCGGAGCAAAAAAAGTGAGAGATGGCATCCAACACTAAGGCCATACTCTTCCTGTAACCTAATCTTGGAAGCGACACTGGGTTCAGCCCACACTCGGAGCATACGAGGGTGTGAACACAGGGGAGGTGCATCTTAGATGCTGTCCGCCTCACTGATGCTTGAACAGGGCTGAGCAGGAATTAGGCAGGTGAAGACCACAGGCAGAGCCCAAGAGGCGTGAGCCAGCCAGGGGCGTCTGAGAACTGGCAGCCCATGCCTCCTGTGAAGCGGAGGCTTTTGAAGGGCAAGAGGCTACCTTGCAACCTATGCCCTGACCCGGGCCCTTCTCAGGGCTGGGATTCAGAAGGAGGTGGAGCCACCTGCTCTGTTATGCCCAAGCCCTCGAGATAGAGGAAAACCCGAGCAAGAGCTGCATGGCCAAGGCCGCCATGACGACTGACAGTTCCTTATGGATTTCGGCATCTGGTTTGGGGCAGGTGGAAATGTGTTCAATGTGGGAATTTACATCCAGGCCTGGTTGTCCTGTCGCACGTCTCCTAAGTGGTCTCAGCTTCCTTCCCTTCTGGCCTTGTCCCCCTCCAGTCCTCTCTCTTCATACACTGCACTGGAGGGATTGCTTCAAAGCATGGGGTCACCATGTCATGCCGCTGCCGGAGACCCTTCTTGGCGCTCCAGTGCCTGATGGGATAGGCCCTGCCAGGCTGCTTGGTGCGGCTGCTGGCCCCCTCCCACCCACCCAGGTGTAGGGGAGGGACTGCTGCCCCTCCTGACCCTCTGCTGCTGAGTCATGTCTCTGAACTGCACTGCCTGCTGCTGCTCCCTCAGCCAAATCCTGAAAATTCTCCCAGAGGCTCTGCGTCGTTGCCTCCCTCTCCCTTGATCTTTCAACTATGAAAGTCCCAACATAGGGCATAACAAAAGCGCCAGATGTAAGGAGCAGACATCTCTTTGGGAAACAGGATAAAGCAGAAGTGGCCCCTCTTGCTGCTTGCCCAGCCCATCATATAGCAACGTGCCCCATGACCGTGCTTTGCAGCAAGGTCTGGTATACCAGCCCGCATAGGCACAAGCACTGGCTTCTGCCCAAAGTGTCAGGTTGGGGACAATTTATGTGCACAGATGTGAGTCTGCGACTCACCAGTAAGGTCTTGTCACCAGAATGCACACTCACTGTTGTCCTAACCCTGTGTGTCATCACTCGTCTGTTCCGTGTCTCTCCCACTGAGCTGCGAACCCCTTGAGGGTGGTGACTGCATGCGCATGCCCTGTGCCTGGCAGAGGCTGTCTGATTTAGGAGGTACCCAGTAGACGTGTTATGGCATTTTTATTACCTTCCAGGGAGAAGGTGTGCAGGGCCAGCCACGGCGGGTGGGGGGAGGAAGGGCAGGACAGGGCCCTTGCCCCTGCCATTTCTCCTCTCTGTCCTGGGACGCTGGACGTTGGGGAAGGGATGCTGGCTGCCTCTGATGGCCGAGAAGCCAGGCTTGGAAAGAAGCAGGGACTGGGCTAGCTTCTGAGGCCAGGACGCCAGGCTGGGCAATGACTTCCTAGGAGTGGGGTCATTGGCTCTTTTAAGTGTGCTGTCATTCCGCCCAGGATTTCAGTTCCAGAGAGGGAGCATCCGCTTGGCTTCCTTGTGTCCTGGGCTGTCCCTTCCTTTTACCTGACTGTACCCACAGGAGAATGCTGGTACTTTTGGGGACCGGAACCATACTGGGGAGCCGTAAGCTAGCAGCTGTGCCCCACGCACTCTTTCCCCTGGGTCTCATTGCAGCACCGCGGAGACCTTGGGAACGTCCATGCCGATGCTGACGGCCGAGCCATCTTCAGAATGGAGGATGAGCAGCTGAAGGTAAGGGGGAAAGAACGTGGGGACCTTTCCTCACAGACAGGTCCACTGTCTGAGGCCACTGTCTACCCGCAAAGGTGTGGGATGTGATAGGCCGAAGCCTGGTCATCGACGAAGGAGAAGACGACCTGGGCCGCGGTGGCCATCCCTTATCCAAGATCACAGGGAACTCAGGAAAGAGGTGGGTACTGCCGCCCCCTGCAGGAAGCTGTGCTCTGCCAGCCAGACCCGCGAGGGGCCTGGACAAGTGCCTACTCTTGACCCCACGTTCATCTGCAGGTTGGCCTGTGGCATCATCGCACGCTCCGCCGGCCTTTTTCAGAACCCCAAGCAGATCTGCTCCTGCGACGGCCTCACCATTTGGGAGGAGCGAGGCCGGCCCATCGCTGGCGAGGGGCGAAAGGAGCCGGCCCAGCCCCCTGCCCACCTCTGAGCAGGGCCTCAGCCTCAGGTCCAGTACTGCCCTCCCAGCTGAATTCTACCCTGTGGCAGGGGAGGAAGGGAGGCCCTGCTTGTTCAGTCCGGGAAGTGGGGATTCAGGGTGTGCGGGGAATGCTGTAAGGCTCCCTTGGCCAATTAAAGTTTTATTTTCACATTGAACTCTGTTTTCCCATGGGCTTGGTGAATGCAGTCCTTCTGCCATCTCCTTCGAGGGTCAGCTCTTGGCTTTTGGAGCCAAAACCAAAACCAAACAAACAAAAAACACTGGGTTTAAACTTACACACCTCCTGCCCTGACTGGTGCAGCTCAGTGGGTTGGGTGTCATCCGACAAACAGAAAGGTCACTGGTTCCATTCCCAGCCAGGGCACGTGCCTGCCTGGTTGGGGGTATGCAAGAGTCAGCTGATCGATGCTTCTCTCCCATGACGCTGTTTCACTCCCTCCCTTTCTCCCTCCCTTCCCCTCTCTAAAAACATAAATAAAATCTTAAAAAGAAAACAGTCCCGCTCACCTCCTAAAGGCAGGTGCACAGGAGAACCTGTGAGTTGCTGGACAGTGCCAGATGCTCCAGAGCCCTGCTCTGAGCCCTGCTCTGGGCCCTGCCCGAGGCCAGCTAACTCCTGACCTGGGGGCCAAGAGATACTCCTGTGTCCTCCCTGTGCACACCCCCGCCCCTCAAAAATTAATCTGTCTTGAGTTGATTTCTTTACTCACAAGCAAAAGACTCTTAACCTAATACGTGAAGTACTTGGCACGGGGCCCGGTACACGGTAAGTTAAACGAGCAGTGGCTGTGATTCAGAGGCCAAACCAGGCCCCGGAGGCAGCCCTGGCCGAGCTCCCCGCTCACAGAGGTGGCCGGTAGCCTGATAGCCAAGGTCTAGTGCTGGGGACCAGGGATTCTGGGCCTCCCCACTCACCTGCTTTGTCCCCACCCCTACCCCCACTGGACAGCTCATGCATGACATGGTGGGCTGGCAGAGTACAGACTGTGCCCTTTACGCTGCCTGCATGGAGCCAGGTGGGTGGTTTTACAGTTAGTTGGCCTTGGCTGAGATGCGCCAGGCACTGCGCCCATTCTCCCGGCCCCACCCGGTTTCCCCTGAAGGCTGCTGGCTGTGCCTCTGGCCCCAGCCGTCACACCCTGCTCTTCCTTGCCTAACCTATGCTGGTTGCTTTCTAGCTCCCCTTGTTTCCGGGGGAACCAAATCCTTTTAATCCTGGGGCCCAGGTTTTCTTTCCTCATGTCAGCCTCGTTGCGGGAAATGCTCTTGGACTCTGCCCACAGCCAACCCCTGACCTCCTCTGGCCTTCCTGCTGGACGTGTAGCTGGATTTAACCCTTTTATGGCTAAACTGCTCACCGTCCTCTACCACTTCTGTTTTGACCCCTAAGGAATTAACATCCCATTAGCTTTTCTTCTAAACTCTTACCTAGCTGTGTGCTTTCTGGCAAACTTTGTTTTTCATCATGAAATGCTGTCCAAACATCTTGAAGCCTCATCCCTAAAGCAGAAGTGGAACAGGTAGCACAGTTTGAAAATCTTGGTTGAATTCAGGCATTTTTGTGTTACCTCTCAACTTCTGCCATATCCACAGACCATCTGTACTGTCATTCACCAAATACTTTTCTTTAAATTGATTCACTTTCAAATTTACTTAAAAAGGACATTGTAATCATATTAGCTAATACTGTACCCTATATAGTGATTATTAAGTGCCTGCTTCTGTTCTAAGTACTTCACATGCAATAATCCATTTAATCCTCATGACAATACTACAGGGAAGGGAGGTTTTATTATTATCCCCTGTTACAGATAAGGAAACTGAAGCACAAAGTGGTTATGTCACTTGTCCTAGGCCACACAGTAACATGGCCCAGGTTGTCTGGCTCCAAGTGTATGCTTTTAACACTGTTGGTTCTCATTGTAAAGGGTGGGAAGCAAGATCACTTGTCATAAACAGAAGTTTGCTAGAAAAAGAATATATATAGCTATTAAAATAAAAATTGTCCAGCCAGGCCTTGGCCCCGTGGCTTGGTTGGAACATTGTCCCGTCCCTTACACCACAGGGTTGAGGGTTTGATCCCTAGTCAGGGAACATGCCTAGGGTGTGGGTTCAATCCCCAGTAGAGGGTACATGCGGGAGGCAATGGACCAATGTTTCTCTGACACATCGATATTTCTCTAAAATATCAATAGACATATCCTTGGGGGAGGATTTGTAAAAAATTGTCAGGAACTGACCCAAATTGTGTGTAAATTCAGCGATATTTGCTCTGCAACTCAGGGAACCCACTTTCTTTTGCCCGCCCACCCCACCCCACCCCGTTCACTCAGCCCCTGTTTAGCATCTCCCCTCTACCTCTGCCCCCTCTCCCAGCCTCCTTGTCCTCATGTCTTATCCCATCTCTTCTGCCCTCCTCCCTCGCCCTGGTGCACCGCTTCCGGCATTCCACGCTCAGCTATACCTGGGGTTCCACGCCCTGGGTTTGTAGAGCTGTGAGCATCTGAAGACTCTTCTGCTGTCCCCTGCTGAATCCTGGCAGAGGGGCCCGATGGGAGTCCCTCTTCAGAGCCCCAGCAGAGCCTCTTTTCAAGTACTCCTGGCTGTGTCTGAGTCAGGATAGTAAGCAGCTAAGAAAATGGGAGCTGAGACAACCCAGTGCAGATGGTCACCAGGGTGGAAGGCATGGCAAGGACGAAACTGGGGGAACAAGGATCATGCCCCCAGGGTAACTTTTCCTTCCCTGGCCTTTCCTCCCTGGAGACAACATGTAGGCCTCAGTGGTATTTCAGCTTCAGGCCCAGAAAAGCAGCAGAACCAGGTGGTCAATGCTAGAACCAACTGCAGTGACTAAAGACCTAGCCTGGCGCTGACCAATCAGTGGAGACCACGATCCTGAAAGGGCGCACCTGGAGAACTGATGTGTGTTCTGCTGAAACCTCCCTTAAGATTCCATTCTGCAAGAGAGAGAGAAAAACTAGTTGAAGGACCCAGCATGTGCACTGTCCCTGAGGAGCAGCCTGTGCCATTCCCTTTCCCTTCTTCGCAGCCCCCTCTTCTTTCTTCTCAGGCACCGCGTCTCCTAAACTCTGAGTCAATGGGCAGCTGGCAGCTGGCAGCTTGTTCCAGGCTAACCCCCTGAACCTGTCCCAAAGCCCCCATCTCTCTGACATCCCAATGAGCTAAGGCAGCCCAGCCTAGGCTCTCCTGTTGCTTCCTCTATGCTAAGCCCTTCCTTGTTTCACTCTCTGCAGATTTAATAAATGCATCCTCATAGTTACCTGAAGTTGTGTTGTGAAATCTTTCCTACACGAAGTCAAGAGCCCACACACTACAGCTGGCCCCAGGCGGGGCCCGCTCAGGGTCAGGCCCCAGCCCGGTAACGTTTCTACTACCAGTGGCTCTCAAGAGGGGGCCCTTGTGGTTCCTGCCCCAGCAGCCTGAGTGTTACTTGGAAATGTTTGGAATGCAAATTCTGGGGCTTTCGCGTCAGCCTTACTGAATCAGAAACTGTGTGGGTGGGTAAAAAGAAAATAACAACAAGAAAAGAAACCAGAAAAAAATAACAACAACAACAAAAGAAATGTAAAAAAAAAAAAGAGAGAGAGAGAGAGAAACTGTGTGGGAGAAGCCTAGAAGTCTGTTTTAAGAGACTTCCAGGTGGTTTTGAAAAGCACACTGAACAACGAGAACTACTAGCCTCAACTTTTCCGAAAGCTCAGGGCCTGGCACCCTCTCTGAGTGGTATGTCTGTCTGCTGCTCCCTATCCCAGAGTAGGAGTACAGATGGGGACCATCCTCCAGCCTCCCAAATTTCCCCTGTGATTTAAATACATGCGTGTCACCTACTTAAGGTATCTTAGCTAGAGTATACTTAAAACCCTAGGTGAGGGAAGCACCATACCAGAGAGAGAGCTCAGCTTCCAGGCGAAGAGGAAAGTGCTCTGAGATACCTGGGTCTTACTGTATAATAACACCGCTACCAATTTCAGCGCGAAAGAATTCTGTCACCGTGTTTATGATGTACATCAGTAGTATCAGTGCACTGAAAAGACTGTTCGTGATTGCTTTTTTAATTTTTATTTTTATTACTATGATGGGTTGATAATGGCCCCAAAGTTATCAGGTCCTAATGCCTGGAAGCTGTCTGTGTTACCTTATTGGGAAAAAGTAACCACATAGGATGGTCTGAAATTAAAACTAAGAGCAAGTCATGGCAGGTAGTCACATCCTGGGCCGGCATCTTCCCTGACAAAGGTCAACCTTTACCTTAACTGAGCCAGTCTTAACTGTCCTTTTGTGTCTATGATAACAGGGCTTTGGAATGTCAGGGTAATTTCCTTTTTCCAGACCCCTCAGGGCACGATCTCTCACCAGGACAGGGAAACAGAACCCCTCATTGTTATTGTTATTATGCTAACTCCCCTTTAACGATCCGGTAACTTCTATACCCTTATATACCTCCGTAAAAGAAGTGTGTGTCCATTCATTCCTTTTACTTTTTATCCAGTCTGAGATTCCCCCCCACCTTGTTTTCTCCCACCCCCTCAGTCTATCACCAATGAATTTCCTGTAACCCTTTAGGCCTCGTCCTTTGATTGTAATGTATATGATAAGTTGTTAAACTGCCCTTCTTCACAACATCTCTCAATCCACTGAGATTTTGCTTCCCTGCAATTGTCATCAGTTTGGCTCAATCACACTCATAGAAATTCTCACAGGTGTTTGGACATTTCTTACGTTGACACCAAAGTTAAGTTTACGTTTACAAAATTTGGTTTAGGTCATTGGTTCTCAAAGGGGGTGTTACTACCCCTGAGGGGACTTGCTGGGGTTTGTGAGGCAGATATTTTTGGTTGTGACAATGCTGGATGGGGAGGTGCCCATGGCATGTATTGGGGGAAAGGCTAGGGATCCTTATGGACCTGCAATGTGCAGGATAGTCCATCGTAATGAAGAACTGTCCCACTTTCTGCACAACTTTCAAATATCCCACTAGATATACTTGAATGTGAAAAACATGTTTACATTTAGAACTTTATTTATTTATTTATTTATTGCTTTATTTATAAACAACAAAGCAGTTCTGGTGCCATTTTGATAGACCCCGAATTTTTCTGTTCTTTGTTGGGTTTGGAATATTACTGAGTGTTGTTCACCATTTCGGAAAACGGCATTGCCAGTGGCCCCACCAGAAGACACAGTTCATTACAGATATTTCATATGATATATATTATTTTATTAGAAGTGTCTTTTCATTTGGCACAGCCAGGATAGGCCAGTTACGTCTCTGGGCTAACACATGAGGAAAGATAAAGCCTCCTGGAAAGTCTAGTATCATTACTGGGGAAATACATCCATTGGAGGTATGAGGTATGGGGAGAGCCAAGAGACGTGATTGTTATTTCTGTCTTTAAACACATACAGGACACTATGAGTCTAATTATATGTTGTTTCAGAAACTATAAGAAGGCATGGCAGATAGTAGCTGGTTAATAAAATTCTAGTTGGGATACTGTTGGTTCTTTTTATTTGCCTTTTAATACGATTCTGTAGCAAACTTTCCTAATAGCTCCCATTATTGAGCTCCTCACTGCATGACTACAGGGTGCTAAACACTTCATTGTACCTTGTTTAATGCTCACAGCAACCTTGTGGTTCATAGGAACTTACCAAGATAAATGAAAACTTTTGTTTGCACAAATACCTGTATGCAAACTTTAGTCATAATTGCCAAAAATTGAAACCAATCAGATGTCCTTCAGTTTAGGAATGGAAAAACAAACTGCAAGATGTCCTTACAATGTAAGTGGTTGATACAAGGGAAGTAACTAGTGATACGGGCAAGGACATTGATGAATATCAGATGCATTATGCTAAGTGAAAGAAGCTGGGCTCAAAACAGGAGGTGACTGCAAAGAAACAGCACAAGAAAGCTTTTGAGGATGCTGGGATGGTGTCTGTCTTGTGTGGTGGTAGTTATGTGTGACTGTATGCATTTGTCAAAACTGAAAGAACTGTACACAAAAAAAGAGTGATTGTCATTATATGTAAATTATACTTTAAAAAACCAGACAAAATCCAGCAATTTCACTTCTGAGTATATACCCAAAAGAAGTATACAGCATTATTCACAATAGCTAAACGGTGGAAGCGTCCCAAATGGCCACTGTCCAATGAATGAGTAAAAAAATAATGTACCATATATATAATGGAATATTACTTAGCCTTAAAAAGGAAGGGAATTCTGACACATGCTACAACATGGATGAACCTTGAAGATAGTAGCTAAGTAATCCAGACAAAAAAGAACAAATATTTGTATTGTATGATTCTACTTACATGAGGTAACTAGAGTAGTCAAAATCATACAGACAGAAGAATGGTCATTGCCAGGGGCTTAAGGGAGGAGGGAATGGGAGGTTTATGTTTCATGGGGACAGATTTTCAGTTGGGGAAGATGACAAAGGCCTGGAGATGCAGTGTGGTGCTGGGCTGCACGATGATGTGAATGTATGCCACAGAACTCTACCCTTAAAATTGGTAAATTTTATGTTATATGTATCACAATAAAAAAATCATGTAAGAAGCCCAGTTATTTTTATAAGTGAAGGAGGTAGCATTCATAGATGTGAAGACTCTTGCTCGCATTCACGCAGCTGGCAAATCGGCAAATCACTATCTAACTCCTTGTCCTGGGGTAATGGAAAGAGCACCAACTTAGCCCCAGTTCTACCACGAGCTTGATGAGGGGGGCAAATCCTTTCTCTTCTGTAGTTCTGAATGGGTCTCTCATCTGTGAAGTGATTGGGCAAGCCTGGCCAATCGACTTATTTTTTTAAATTAATTAATTGTTATCCTCACTTGAGGACGTGTGTACTGATTTCAAAGAGATAGGGAGGTAGGGAGAGAGAGAGAGAGAGATTGATGTGAGAGAAAAACATTGGTTGCCTCTTGTACAGGCCTCAGATGGGACTGAACCTGCAACCTAAGCATGTGCCCTGACTGGGAATTGAACCCTCAGTCTTTCAGTTTACAGGATGACCTCCAATGAGCTGAGATACACCAGCTTATCTTGAAGAATCCTTTACAGCTTTGACACTATTTGCTGGTGGATATTTCTGAGAGTGATCTTCTTGCCTACCCTCATTCCTCACACTTGGTTCTAAATGACATGGAGTTCTTTTTCTTTTTCAAAAATATTTTATTTATTTTTTAGAGAGGGGAAGAGAGGGAGAAAGAGAGGGAGAGAAACATCAATGTGTGGTTGCATTTCGCACACCCCTGCTGCGGACCAGGCCTGCAACCGAGGCACATACCCTATCCTGGAAATCAGGCCGGCAGCCCTTTGGTTCTCAGGCTGGTGCTCAATCCACTGAGCCACACCAGCTGGGGCAACATCAGGTTCTTTTCAGAAATCAGGCACATCACCAATGTTGACGTTCTGTTTCTCCAAAGGATGCCTCTTCAAGACGCAAAGGTCATTTCAAGAGGAAGGCTAAACCTGTACTAGCCAATATGGTAGCCATTGGTCTCATGTGGCTACGAAACATCTGAAATGCGGATAGACCAAATTGAGATGTGCTGTAAATATACAATACACAATGAATGTCAAAGACTTAGAACAAGGAAAAGAATATAAAATATTAATAATGTTTATATTGATTAGATGATGAAATGATAGTTTTTAAAGATATCTTAGGTTAAATAAAATATATCACTAGAATTACATTTTTAAATTAATGATTTTTTAAAATGTGGATACCAGACAAATTAAAGCACATAGGGGTTTTACATTATATTTCTGTTGTGCAGTTTTCTGACCCTAACCCGTACCAGCATTATTAGAACCACCGCGGAACTGCCCCCATGATACTTTCAAATGGTTTTGCTTACTAACTGGCTAAGGGCCTGCTGATGCCCACTCTGGGAAAACTGTCAGCAGTCTGGACTTATGAAAATATCAGAGTGGTATCAGAGTGGTGCCCCTCTTTTCCTCCTTAAAATGTATTTTATTTTTTTAATTATAGAAGAATTAGATGCTCATTATTAAAAGTCTAATGATACGGCAATGAATAAAAAATTAACTCCCCCATCTCATCTCCTTGAGTAACTAATGTTATTTCTCTATGCTGAAAAAACATGCACTTCTATGAAGGGTTTTCCCCCTATGGCATAGAAAGACATAACATTATACAATTATGTTGTGTTTTTTCCCCCTCTTAAATTATGGCTATGTTTCCATATCAATACATTTTGAGCTTTTTTTTTTTTTTTTCCGTTATGCCCCAGGCATGCAACAGCTCTGGCTGCCAACACAGGCTTCAAACTAGGATGAACTAAGGACTGCGCATCTGCTTTGCCCCTGTGATATAAAGCAGCACCACCAATCAGGTATCTCCTTGCCCATTGTTAGGGGTTTTGAACTGCTTTTAATAGCAATAAAATGTTCTATCATAAGGCAATGCCTAATTCTCTTATTAATGGACATGCAGGTTGCTTTCACTACTTGCTACTACAAACAATGCTACAATAAATAAATTTATACCAATATCCTTATCGATGAGTTCTCTGTAGGCTAGATTTCCAGTAGGATTACTATGTTAAAGGCTCACCACATTCAAAGTTTCAATGTTGGCAGAATACTTTCCAAGAAGGATGTAGAGTTCACACTATTATCAGCAATGTGTGAATGTATTTTCTCACATCTTTACCAGCCATAGATATGAATCTTCTAATATTTTTGCAAATCTGAGGGGTGAAAAATGTTCTCATTTTCTCAGGAAATTGCATTTCCCCGACTGCCAATGGAGTTTCTTGTTTATTGACCATTTGCGCTTCTTTTTTTAAAACTAAATTAAATTTATTGAGGTGACATTGGTTAATAAATTATATGGTCCTCAAGTGTACAGTTCTATGCTACGTCATCTGTATATTGCATTGTGTGCCTCATTTGCACTTTTTTCCCTATAGAATTGCCAGTTCATATCCTTGGCTCATTTATCTCACCTTTTTTCCCATATCAATTTGTAGGAGTTCTTTGTACAATATAGATATTAGCTCTTTAGACTCTCAAATTTGTATCCTCAGCTCAGACCTTTGCCCTGAACTGCAGATACACATCATTGGTATCTGCACTTGTACAACTCAGAGGCATTTCAAACTTATCATGTCCAAAACTGAATTTCTGATCTTCCGCAGAAACTCCCTCCTGCAATAGTCCCCATCTCAATTAATGCTTCCAGTTGCTGTCATCTCTGACTCCTCTTTCACAACTCATAGCCAATTGCAGCTCTACTGTCAAATCTGACCACTTCCCCTGAATTCTATTGGAACACCCTGATTCATGTCACCATCATCTCTCTCCTGTATTTTTTCAGTAATGGTAATTTGAGCGAACAACTGTTTTCTCTTTGTCTTTGCTCATTTGTTTCTTTTTCTGGGGGGGGGGTGGTTAGGAAATAATTTTTAATGGGTTTTTACTTTATAAACACACCAGAGAATCATGCAGCGCTGCCATCATTGGATGCAATCCTGGACCACAAATCTGCACACTCCTTTGCAACTGGTTCCATGATGGCAGAACTTTCATTTTGCCTTTATTGTTTACTATGACCCCTGCATTATCTTCAAAATTAAGAAACATGCCATTTTTTTCTCTGGTATTATCACAGGTGGGCACATGTAACCACATTCTTGGTGATTATGGACAAAAAATTGAAGCAAACACATAGAGTTTATAGCAGGAGAGAGAAAGCAGATTTATTAAGCAAGTGATAGTACACTCCACAGAATACAGGAGCGGGCTAACTTCGAGCAGAGATTGATGCCCAGGCTAGAGGGCTTCTATTCTTACGGGGTGGATCTCTCTTGGCTAGTTTTGGCAGGCTTTTATTGAGAATGTAGAAGTAGTTATATTTCTTTAAAGCTACTGCGCATGTGGTCTCCCTTGATTTTCCTTGATTGGCCACCGGGGCGGGGGGTGGGGTCCCACAATGCTAATTTATTATAATGATATTATAATGAAGCAGGGGTCCTGTAGCATCTTCTGCGCAGCAGGTGCATTCATGATTCACTATGATTCAGCGCTTTTCCAGAAAGCAGGAACAACTGGTCTTAGAATAGGGTCTCTGTCCTGTATCGATGTCCTTTATCTTAGCCCTGGGGCACCTCTGGAGTTTCCTCCTTCCTGACTATCTCCTGCCTCAGTATGACTTCTGTTGTTGAATTACTATGGCTAGATGCACCTTCTTTCTAAGCTCTGGTTTGCCTTTTTTGACTGTGGCCACCACCATGTCACCCACTCCTGCAGCAGAAAGTCTGGTGAGTCATCCCTTGATCCCCTTCACAGAGATTATATACAGATTTTTGACTCCTGTGTTGTTAGCACAGTTGATGAGGGCTCCTACTGGAAGACCGAAGGAGATCCACAATTTCACACCAGAGGACACATCACATCCTCTCTTCCACATCTTGAATGGCAGAAAGGCATAGAAAGCATTTTTCCTCCCATTTCAATAGCAGCCATATGATACTTAATGAAACAATGAAGGAAAAGTCCCTATCAGATGAACCCCTGTGCCATGCCCTCCATGGACTAACAGCCTCACTAAGAGTGAAAGCCAAAGTCATTCTACAAGGTCTTACACCTGCCAATCCCCACACCCATCTTTATGCTCTATTATTCCTTGGTTTCCCACCTCTAGCCTAACCGCTTCTTGCAATTCCTTGAACAGACTTTTGCCCCGGGACTTTCTGACTTGTGTTGTATTTTTTGACTGGAATGATTCCCCCAGAAGATGACTGGCTTGCTCCCTTGGTTACTTCAAGTCTTTAGCATTAACTAAATAGGCTACATGTTTTACTTATTAATCTGTGTCCGCACTATAACACGAACTCCAAGAAGGTGAGGATTTTTGTTACTTTTTGTTTATTGCTGTATTCTTGGTGCTGCCCACATGGCGGGTGCTCAATCAAATTTGTAGAATGAGCAAATATTTCCCTGAGTTTGTCACATGTTATTTGTTTTCGCCATCTTTCGCCGGCAAGATCTTTATTTACATACATGTCGGTTTAAAAATTTTTTCCTTTTAATGTTTTTTTAAAGACTCAGCTTTTGCCCCCTCAAGGACCGTTCTTTTGACCTCATTTCTTATTTTATTAAACTTTTTAATGTGGAATTATTTCAAACGTACACAAGAGTTACATCTAACCCTCGTTTCTAAATTCCGTAAAGGCAGAGGCGTGCTCTTATTTTTCGCGTCTCCAGCGTCTGCCAGGACCTCAGCAACCTCAAAGAATGTGTTGCCAAAGAAGGAACTAATGGCACAAGCATTTCTCCCGAGGCAAATGCCTCTCAGATCCCCTCAGACCGCTCCGCACAGTCCCGGAGGCGGTAGTCCTGGGAGCCGTTTGCTGATTGAAGGCGTTTGTCCTGGTTTTTCCTGCCAGGCCCGGCCTTCCCCTTGGAGATTACTCCTTCCACCTGAAGCCTCAGGTTTGGCTAAACTGCCAGAATGGGAGAAACTCTGCCTTCCGACTGGACCAAGTTTTTCTTCGGGGCCCACCGATTTCGGCCCCACCCGATCCAGAGGCCGCGTCTACGACTAGGCCGCTAGACTGCAGACGTTCCCAAAGCACCTCCCCACCTCCCCAACCCTCCTTCCCCCCACCCCCTCCCCCGGCAGTGGCGGTTGGTCGCGCGCCGTCTTCCCTCTCCCACCCCTCAGTTAACAAGCGGGCGCAAGGCCTTTTGGGATTGGCTGCGTCTGCGCGCATCTTCTCTCAGGCTCTCTGACTGGCTGCAGAACGCGCGGGATGTGAGTCCTGATTGGCTAGATCAGAGCGCCTGCGCGGCGGGGTTCTCCGTCGCCAGCCATTCCTGGGGAGGACTGCCGGCTGGCCGGACGTCTCGCCTGTAGCGTGAGGAGAGGTCCCAGCTCTCCGGGAAGGCGGTTGCAGCGGCAAAATGAAGATATTCGTGGGAAACGTTGATGGGGCGGATACAACGCCAGAGGAGCTGGCAGCCCTCTTCGCACCCTACGGCACAGTCATGAGCTGCGCCGTCATGAAACAGTTCGCCTTCGTGCACATGCGCGAGAACGCGGGCGCGCTGCGCGCCATCGAGGCCCTGCACGGCCACGAGCTGCGGCCTGGGCGCGCGCTCGTGGTGGAGATGTCGCGCCCACGGCCTCTTAACACTTGGAAGATTTTCGTGGGCAATGTGTCGGCTGCTTGCACGAGCCAGGAATTGCGCAGCCTCTTCGAGCGCCGCGGACGCGTCATCGAGTGTGACGTGGTGAAAGGTAACGCGAAGGCGCGCGCACGGGGCACTCTGCTTGTTAGCCACTCCCCTTTCCCGGGGGTCGGTCACTGCGCGGTTGGGGGTGGGGGTGGCGAGAAGTCTGCGGGAGCGTGGTCGGAGTTGTTGGGGGCGCGATGGGCAGAGCCACCCTCCTCCCCTGCGGTCCAGGCACCATTCGCAAATGGGAGGAAGCGGCTCTGGGTGGGTGCGGCGGCCACTGCTGGCCGAACTACGGGGCCGGGGACGCGCCTGAGAGACTTGCGAGTGTACCGGGGGCGCGCCTTCCACTGTTCTCCTGGGCCTGGCACCGAGCGGAAATTGGGAAGTGACGGGCACAAGCCGGATCATGGAGCGGGGAAGATCTCTTCACTTCCCCAGACGTCGGTCAGAGCGAGGGAAGAGGGAAAAGGTGGGGGCTGACGCCCCAAGACCACCCTCGTGTTCCCTCCCCGTGAATGCTCCCGAGCGGAAGGTAACGGGGCCCTTGGTCGTTTCTTGGGCTGGGATCTTTTTAGTATTTTGTGGCATGGGTGTACTCGTGGGTACAGGAGGGGCCCCTTCCGAACCACTTTGGCCTTTTAATATTGTTAGGTGGGTTAGGCGTGGCAACTGTGCTTTCCAGCTCCTTCAAATTTGGGTTTATTTTCTTTGGGCTCGATTGTGCATCTGTAAACTGGAAATCCCGACCTCTCGAACGTGGAAGGAGGCTTATTTTATGAAGGCCCCTTCTCCGTAGACTTCATTTGCCAAACCTTGTGCCCTAGGGCATTGTCATTTTATAAGTTTTGTGATTTTGCAAGGGGCATACTCTGTGGCTGAGGGGGAACATGGGAAGGGGTCTGTGAGAGGTCTTCCTTAAGTCTTTAAACGTTGATTAAACAGATTTTCTTACTAGTTGTCTTTGCTTGGTTAGCTTGACCCTCAGGGCAGATTCCTAGTTTGCCTTTTAAACTTTGAGAAAAATGTGTCACCATAATTTAAGCCCAGCCTCCTTTTTGGAAGCTAGTTGACTTTTTTCATAGTATGGTTTTTATTCCCTAAGCTCTTATAATTTTATGTTGCCAGGGTTTGGTGGGACAGTCCTTGTGTATGGGAGCAGATCAGAGTTAACTCGGCCCTGCCGTCTTTGAGGATGCAGCCTGGGAGTGTTTGATGCCCTACTCCTAGTATTGGATTCATACGTACTTAGAACCCTGTGTGAGAAGTTTGGAGGCTAGGAAATAAATGTGGCTGCAGGTGCTTGCTTATTTCCACCAAGATAACTTCATTTGCTGTCCTCGAGAGGCACATCCTTTGGGCCATTCCTTGTCCTTTCCATAACTGTGGGAAGTGTAAAGGGTTGTAGTCTCTATTCCTAGGATCAGTTCCTTGTTCTGCATTAATACTGCATTCTATTTTCCTCAACTCAGGTTATGCAAGTCCATGGACTATCCGGAATCGGGCTTCCTTGCTGGGTTCTCTGAGGCAGGCTGTATGGTGCAAGGATTTTGGGGTTTTTGCTTTTGTTTAGAGTAAAAGAGTGGGAGGGGCCTCAGACTGGGCACCTCTGGCCAGGATATGGATGGGGGTACATGGCTCACTATGAGAGTTCTGTGTTTAATTGACCTCCTCTTTTTTCTTTTGTGGTTCTTAGTCAGGGTGGCTACTAGATTGGAGTCTAGAAACTAGCATCTTTGGGGACAGTCCATGGGACTCACTAGTCAAGGAGCTTGCTTTCAGGTAGTAGAGAAAGCAGAAGAAAATGTGCCTGAATTTGCTTGGGACAGACACTGACAGTGGGAGGCAGGGTGAAGTGTACGACTGCATGCAATTTTTAGAACTCTTGGCTGACTCCTTGTGATAGAGTGAAAGTTTTGTGCGTTTTGTCCCTTTGTAAATGTTTGATTAGTAGAAATACCTTGACTTCTTCAGGGAGTGGTGGTCTGCTGTTTATAGTTTGCTGATATGTAATAGCCCCCGATACATTTTGATGTAAAGTACTGTGGGAAAGATTTGAGCATCATATCCTTCACTGATACCTTTCTGTGTCTTTGGGATGAAGGAAAGTGAGGTTTTTATGTTGTAAGTGTAGTATAAGAAACTGGCTCTGGCTTATAAATAGCTTATTTCTTGGGATGGGAATGGGCATTTTATTGAGTCTTGTGGAAAAGCACAGGAGCTTGGCCCGGCAGAGGACAAACAGTTCTGTTGTATTTCACAGGGGGAAAAAACATAGTTGCTTGGTTACCCCAGAGCTTAGATATGATTTGATTTGTAGAGTAAAAATCTCCATAGCAACAGCAGATTATAACCACTCTACAGCTACATTCTATTGGGTGTTCAAAGATGAAGTAGGAGAGTCCGTAACAGCTAGGAACCATTTAGACTTGAGGGGAGGTCTGAAAGGCAGAAGAGGAAACTGTTTCCTCTCCTTTTTTTGTGAGTGGCCATTCTTTTCTCCTATACACACACAGCTCTCAAAGCTCTAGTTTCATACTCTTCTCAGGATAGGAAAACTCATTTTTCTAGGTTCTCTTAACTTGGTACTGGAGGAATTATAATGCCACCACCAGACCATTAGGCAATTCTGTAAAACATTGCTTGCTGGTCCCTTTAAATGTAGTGGATTTCCTTCCGAGGTCAATGTTTCTTGAACTAGCTCTCCAGGTAGAGGGGTCTCTGGAATTTTCTAGCTCTCTGTTTTTTCTTTATTGTCTAGGAGTAGTTGGGTTCTGGGAATCTCTGATAGGGTTAGGTCTGTATTTGGCTGTTCACTGGTAGGATTAGTTAGCCTGCTGTGACTGAGTCAGCTGGACTGTTTATTTCCTCCAATATCAGACTTAGGAAATTTCTGATTTAAACTGGTAATACTTGTAGCTAGTGGCTTAAAAAAAAAATCGGTTATATAGCTCAGATGGTTGGTCAACTGAATTGTACATGCGAAATTTCAATTTTCAAGTTCCTCATCTTGGTCTCTTAATAAAACTCAGGAAAATAGGGAGTAGATAGTGGGATGTCCTTTTGCTCTTGTAAACCCATTGAAATTTTTTAAATCTCTAGCTCATTCTAGTTTCAGTTTAACCAGGAATATAGTATTCTTCTTTATTATTCCATCATAGTGCCTGGAGGTTGTTTTCCCCTTTCCGCTTAATCTGCCTACAAGCTCCTGCTTTCTGCTTGCCATTGCATTCTCCTGGTGGTTTTGCCATTCTCTTGAGGGTCAGCTCAGCCTCTGCTTTTAGAGAGATCTCCCACCCCCAGCATCTATTTTTAGCTCACTCTATCCAAAGAGGAGGTGAGAGATCAGAGGACAGTTACAGGGCCCTGTACCTAGGCAGAAAGGAACACTTTTGCTTTCCACACTTAGTAGATAAGGAATCAGGTTCTGGCCTTGAGGATGTGAGGATGTGAGGGTTGTGATAGTTCACTTTGTTCTTTTATCATCTCTGGCCGGTTCCAAGTTTGCACGTTCAGATGACATTGTCTGTGTGTCTGTCTCTTTTTTAAAAAAATTTTATTCATTGATTTTAGAGATAGAGGAGAAGGAAGTGGGGAGGGAGAAGGAAACATGTATTTGTTGGTTGATTCTTGTGTGTTCCCTGACCAGGGATTGAACCTACAATGTTGATGTGCCAGAGTAATGCTCTAACCAACTGAGCTATCTGGCCAGGGCTGTGGCATTGGATCTCTGGCGTTTTATTAGAGATGACATACTATTCTGTAGGGAAGTAAGCCTATGGTTATTCCTAGGCTTAGATAATAATAATTCTTTATCTTGTTATTTTTACTTTCCCAGGCACTTTTATTTTCTAATTCGAATCTCCTAACTCTGAGGTAGGTAGGAAAAATTTGTTAGATGGAGAAATAAATTATAAGATCCTTAAGAGCTTATAGCCAGTCAGTGATAATCTGGATCTGTAACCGAAGCCTTTTAGCTCCTAGCCAAGGATTCCGTGTACTATACGATACTTCTGACTTACACATGTTGATTGAATTTTTGTTCTCATGGGAGGTGGTAGGTGACATTGCCTTACATCCAAGAAAATGACATCCCAGTATGAATGAAAGTTTCTAGAAATTAGGACACTTACTTAGAGCCCATTTAAAGGGAATTCTTATCTCTGGGAATGGAACCTTAGTTATTTCATTTAGGTAGTTCATTTCCTGAACTGATGATGTGAGAGATTACAGAGTCCTGTTATTTGGACTGTATCTTAAAGTGGCCATAGGTCCAGATGGCATGAAGTACATGGTCTTTTTTCTCACAAGCATGATCTTATCATTGTTCTTCATATCCTTCTTGCACCATTGTGGTTTGTGAGTTTGGATGAGAAGAAGAATTTCTTCCCACTCCTCCCCCTCTTATAATTTTCTTTATGTGGTAGATGTGTAGGTCTTTGAGATCAACATCCTGTTTTAGAGCCTATCCCACCATAGTTCATTCAGATCCTGAATGAGGATCTCAGGGGTAACCTGTTTAGGAGAGCCTGCTTGCTCTAATAATTGCAACTTCTCACCTTGAAGCTGAGAAACCAAATCTTTCCTGTAAAGTTTACTCTGTGAACAGGAGCCCAAGGGGGTAAGATATACCTTTGCCCCTTAAAGAAGCACTGGTGGAGGATGTAATGTAGCTTGTGGGAGGAGACTTAGACCTGAACTCAGCCAGGAGGCTCAGTTTGCATTCCACCACCTCGTTGGTTTACGTGGGGTCCAATTTCTCCTCCCCTTTCTAGTCATATTACATAATTCTGCCTTATGCATTGACTTTCTGGGGGTAGGACTGGTATAGTGAAGGGCCTGGAGAGCTGTGATTCTGTTTATGGCTCTAACACATTTTGATTTGGGGCAGGTCATATAAATTATCCAAGCACATTTGCCCACCTGCAAAATGGGGAGAATGATCTCTTGCTCTGCCTCCTTCACAGGATTGTGAAGTCCAGTGAGGTCCTGTGCATGAAAGTACTTTGGATACTGGGAGGTGCTGTGGAAAAAGGGGAGATCGTTGGAGGAATTTTACATATTGCACATTGCATTCTAGCTCTTTTGCCTTAATCGGACCCTAGGCTGAGACAAGGGTCATGCCAAGACATAAGTTGTCATTTCCAGGGTTTGAGAGTTGAGCCTGAAAGGTGAGCAATAGTACCTGGTGACCTTAGATTAGAGAATACTGAATAATTAAGTGATCCAGGCACCCTTTCTGCGTTTTTTTCTGCTGGTTTATACTTACAGGAGCTGTGAAGATTTTTATCCTGTGTTGCAGTTCATCTTTGTTCTTTCTTCTCTCACCAGGAAGTTGGGTGAGGTGGCAGGGGAAAAGGGAGAATGGGGAAAAGCCCACAGGCAAAGATGGCTTCTTGGGACAGTCAGGAACTTTGTTATATGGGAGCCACATTTTATGACATAACTCCTGGAGAGGAGGGTTTGGAGGCTTGGAGGTAGTTGGCAACAGCTGGGTGCTGTTGGTGTGTCCAATTTGGGACCCATTGGGTAGCATGCCCTGCCCCCCTAATTGCTAACCCTCTGTCTGCTGCTTTATCAGACTACGCGTTTGTTCACATGGAGAAGGAAGCAGATGCCAAAGCCGCCATCGCGCAGCTCAACGGCAAAGAAGTGAAGGGCAAGCGCATCAACGTGGAACTCTCAACCAAGGGTCAGAAGAAGGGGCCTGGCCTGGCTATCCAGTCTGGGGACAAGACCAAGAAACCAGGGGCTGGGGATACAGCATTCCCTGGAGCTGGTGGCTTCTCTGCCACTTTCGACTACCAGCAGGCTTTTGGCAACAGCACTGGTGGTTTTGATGGGCAAGCCCGTCAGCCCACACCACCCTTCTTTGGTCGCGACCGCAGCCCCCTGCGCCGTTCACCTCCCAGAGCCTCTTACGTGGCTCCTCTGACGGCCCAGCCAGCCACCTACAGGGCCCAGCCCTCAGTGTCGCTGGGAGCTGCCTACAGGGCCCAGCCTTCTGCCTCTTTGGGTGTTGGCTATCGGACTCAGCCCATGGCAGCCCAGGCAGCCTCTTACCGCGCTCAGCCCTCTGTCTCCCTTGGGGCTCCATACAGGGGCCAGTTGGCCAGCCCTAGTGCCCAGTCTGCCGCAGCTTCCTCGCTTGGCCCATATGGTGGAGCCCAGCCCTCGGCCTCGGCCCTTTCTTCCTATGGGGGTCAGCCAGGTGCGGCTTCCTCGCTCAACTCCTATGGGGCTCAGGGCTCCTCCCTGGCCTCCTATGGTAACCAGCCATCCTCTTACGGTGCGCAGGCTGCTTCGTCCTATGGGGTTCGTGCAGCTGCCTCCTACAATGCCCAGGGAGCAGCTTCCTCCCTAGGTTCCTATGGGGCCCAGGCAGCCTCCTATGGGGCCCAGTCTGCAGCCTCCTCACTGGCTTATGGGGCCCAGGCAGCTTCTTACAATGCCCAGCCCTCAGCCTCTTATAATGCCCAGTCTGCCCCATATGCTGCACAACAGGCTGCTTCCTACTCTTCCCAGCCTGCTGCCTATGTGGCACAGCCAGCTACAGCTGCTGCCTATGCTGGCCAGCCAGCTGCCTATGCTGCACAAGCCACTAACCCAATGGGTGGGTCCTATGGGGCCCAGCCGGTTGTTCAGACCCAGCTGAATAATTATGGGGCTCAAGCGTCAATGGGCCTGTCAGGCTCCTATGGGGCTCAGTCAGCTGCTGCGGCCACTGGCTCTTATGGCGCCGCAGCTGCCTACGGGGCCCAGCCTTCTGCCACCCTGGCAGCTCCTTACCGCACTCAGTCAGCATCATTGGCTGCTTCTTATGCTGCCCAGCAGCATCCCCAGGCTGCTGCCTCCTACCGTGGCCAGCCGGGCAATGCCTACGATGGGGCAGGTCAGCCGTCTGCAGCCTACCTGTCCATGTCCCAGGGGGCCGTTGCCAACGCCAACAGCACCCCGCCGCCCTATGAGCGTACCCGCCTCTCCCCACCCCGGGCCAGCTACGACGATCCCTACAAAAAGGCTGTCGCCATGTCAAAAAGGTACTGTATGCCCCCCCGCCCCTGCCCCAAGCTGGGGCTTAGGGCAAGGGGCTGAGGTTGGCATGGGAGGGAAACTGGAGCCATTGGCCCCTCCCTTGGTCTTCTCTACTCCCGTGGGATGTCCAAAGGCTGAGGGGGATGATGTGTGTGAACTACCCTGGTCACCAGGGTTCAGGTGGAGCATAGTGCTCAGATTGGGGTGGTACCAGCTAGTCAGGCTGGGAAAAGTGTGACCTTTCTGGGAGAGCCCAACTGCCATGGGAGCTACCGCCTGCAAGATTGTGGCTCACAGCCTTTCCCACTGCTGTGTAGGATCCTTAAGCCTGTTATGTGGTTGTCCTGGCTTTGGTGGGGGTAGGTTTGAAAGAATAGTCCCTTTGGCACTCATTGGCTGAAGGCAAGGTACATGAGGTGCGTCCACGTTGGGAAGCTGGGGACCTTGCTTTTGTCCGCCGTTCTGTTGATAAACAACCACGGTCTTTCTGTGCAGGGCCCAGGGGTGGGAATAGTTTGTGGTTTGGGAATGCAGACCCAACGGCACCTCGGCCAGTTCAGAAGGGAGGGCTTCAATGGCGGGCTTGGTTGCTTGCCCTGGATGGGGTGATGAGCCTTCTGACAAAATCTTGTGTGTTGGAGACCAGTCTGATCACACCCTCCCTATCCCCGTTGGCATCTCCCCCATGCCCACCTGGAGCCCTCTCCTCAATTGTCTCATTCACCAACTGTCTTCTTCTCTCGACTAGGTATGGTTCCGACCGGCGTTTAGCCGAGCTCTCTGATTACCGCCGTTTATCAGAGTCGCAGCTTTCGTTCCGCCGCTCGCCGACAAAGTCCTCGCTGGATTACCGTCGCCTGCCCGATGCCCATTCCGATTACGCACGCTATTCGGGCTCCTATAATGATTACCTGCGGGCAGCTCAGATGCACTCTGGCTACCAGCGCCGCATGTAGGGCCAACCTGGGATGGGGCACCACGGAGGGGATGAGAGACGTGGGGTAGGGTGCAGACCCAGGTTATAACCACTGGCCCATACCTCTCCTGTGTGTGGTTTTTTCATCCCTTCTACCATGTGGGCCTTCCCCAGGAGACGATCCATTTGAGTGTTCGGCAGTAACCTACTTTGTTCCTTCGCCTCAGCAGCAAATCTTGCTACTGGCTCTAGATCTGCGGTTTCCCCTCCCCGGCCTCCCATCTCCCCAGGATGGGAATTTCTTTTATGTTTTTATTTTTCCCTGGCTCCCTTTTATTTTTGTGCGCGATATTTAAGGTCGTCTGGATGGGGAAGCAACCTGCAGCTGAGGTCGCCGGCGCCTTTTTCTTTTTAGATATGAGGAAGGCCAGGAAAGGGTTAGCTTAACCATTTCCTATGCGCCAAGCTGTGCCAGCAGTCCAGGGCTCTGACTGTCCCTCTAGACTGTGTTGAGACTGAATTCCTGTTGGGACAGTCAGTTGGTATGTGTTCAAATTCCTACTGACTCCTGATGTTTTAGCTGATGCTGAGTGGCACAGTCCCACTTCCCTATCTCCCCAAGTAGGTGGTGTTAGAAAACTTTAATTTTTTTTTCCCTTTTGTATGGACTACAAATAAAACTTGGGGCAATTTGCAGTTTGGAAACCTGGTTGTCATTGTCTTGATTGCACTCAGTTTCAGAGGAGCCAGTTTGACATCCAGGAAGACGTGACAGCCAAATGGAAGGCAACCAGAAACCCAGGGCAGATGAGGAAGGGGGATTGAACATGGAAATTAGAATGCTTTCCCTGCTGCCCAGAGGGACTTAGCTCATCGTCAGCCTGCTAGTCTGCCATCTTTAGGAATAGAGAGTCCATATCAAGTTGCTTGGGCTTCTTCAGCCCTCGACTTGAGTTAATCACACTCCAGTGTAATTTATTGCCCATTTTCTTCTGCCTGTGCTTGAATGGTTTCCCTGACTTGTTTCCAGTTGAGAAACAACCTGTGCTCCAGCAGCGTGGTTCTGGGTTTTGGCTTCTCAAGTAAGAAGTGGGGAATGGGCTGCTTTGGTGCTTATGAGGTTAGTGGATCCTTCAGGCCATGGGCTCGAGTGAGTGCTGGGGCTGGGACCTGGAAAGGAACCAGCAGTGGGGTGGGGGCGATGTCGGTGTCTGCTTCTGCCCTGTGGTTGGAGAAGAGGGGCAGGGGCAATTGGAAGGAGGTATGGGAGAGTTTGGTCACAGACCTGATATTTCGCCCGTTGAACATCACCATGGAGCGTCCTTCCTGCGTCCTGCCCATCCGCTACCATCATGGTCACCTGAGACTCACTTTCCCTGTCTCCATGTGTTAGGGTTTCCAGATGTTTACTTGCTGGGTTTATGTTTGAAGCTGTCATGATAGACTCTGGGAATGGGTCAAGGTGCAACATAACCAAGTAGGGGTGCTGGGGTAGGGTGAGGAATCGAAGATCCTTTCTTTACTTCAGGGCCGGGGGGTTGAGAGGACCCGGGTTAAAAAGAATTCCAGCCAGGGACAAGGTGGGAGGCTTGGGTTTAATGGATGAATAGAAGAAGACTGGTTGGGTAGGGTGATAACAGGACAACCTGCTGATGTTCCTTTGGGTAAGGCAATTTTCGGGACGTGTGTATGTCAAACGGAATTCAGGTGGGTTGTCTTCTGCCTCCTCTACTGGCTTCTTGTGAACTTGCCCGTGACAGAGTAGTTTGCCCCAGATGTTCTCTCTCTGCCCAGTGGGCAAAAGCATATGGATGGTCTTAATAACCAGGAACTCTCGTGGATGCTTACTGGGATGATCTTGGGGGACACTGGGGCCATAGCTTTTTACTTTCTGCTCACTGCTTTGCCTTCAGGTGCTTTGCTGCTTTTCATTTCTTTGCAGGACTGGGAGGGGAAGTTTGCTAGGTTTCTTGTCCCTTTTCTGCAGCTGAGGGTGGGTGATCTGAGGGCTGACCTAACAAGGTTAGCTCTGGTTATTACCCTGGAGAATGGAGTGTTGGCTGATTGTAGGCCTGTGTATTTGTAATGTTTGTCAATGTGGCTTTCTGTCATCTTCCTTTCTCTCCAGCAAGGGTTCCTGTGAAAAACAGCTTAATGTGCTCTTGGGGCCAGTGTTGATGTTCAGTATTGTAACCCAAGTTCTTCAGTGTGACCTGGCCTAGATGATCACTCTGCATGTCATCTTTGGGTGCTGATGCCCTTGCTGCCTCAGCCCTCAGGCTTTCCATTGTTTAAGCCAGAAGGAACTACAAAGCTAAATCGTTTGTCATTTTCCTCTTGCAGATTGTTTTAAAATTCCCTCTACTCTTAAATTATGACACCTGTGTTAATCCTGTAGCCCACTCATGCTTTGCTTTTCGTGAAATTCTGATTTTCAGGGTCCCGTAACTTGGAGATGGTTGGGTTGAGTGAATGGGAGAACATACATTTGTGCTTTGGGAAAAGGGGTGGGGAATATGGGCTCCCAGTATCCTTAAAATCTTTGCGCTTTTGCATCTATCATCTCTACAACTTGGCCTTCATTCATTGGAGAAGTTGTGGATGATTTATTCCTGGAACAAGACCACATAGGGGCTTCTAGCCTCCACCTGCTTGAGGTTTGGACCTTGTTTCAGATTTTCTCTAGGGTAGGCCTGAGCCCCATCTCTTCCTTTTTCTGGAGGTAATGGGACTGTGACTAAGTGGTCAGCCTCTATGGTAGGCGACCTTTCCAGTCATGCCTATCAGTTAAACTGCAAAAGTCCATGCACATGAAAGCTGGTTCTCAGGTCATTTTGTTTTGTCAAGCCAGGTTAGCTGACTACAACATGGGTTGGCTGAGGTTATAATGAAAATAAATTTACTAGATTTTATGGACTAGTATGCTATGTAGTATGTATAATAGAGATGGATGGCAGGTGGAAAGTTTACATTCACCTAAATTACCTTTTAAAAGGTCATAAAGGGGAGAATCTAGTTTTCCAGGAAAAAAAAAGTTCTTAAATGACTTAGTTCTTCACGTTGAGCTCTAAATCATTTGAAATACCGTGTCCATAGTGCTGGTGGAAATAACAGTTTTTAGGTAGCTGAGCCCTTGGGCTGAGCTTGAGGAATTAATAGTCTGGGGAGGAAGGACCTACCTAATGAACTAGTTACAGTAGCAGTGTTAGGGGAGTGGTAGGTAGGAAAGGAGAAGATGGCACAGTCCAGGTAATTAGAGAAAATTTTCTGGAGTTAGGATTTGATTTGAAAACTAAGTTGGTACAGAGAGAATGACTAAGGGGTGCTGACTGTAAAATCCGGTTTTCTGAGTTTGAATCCTTGTTCTACCACTCAGCTATGTGATCTTGGAAAAACTCTGCCTCAGTTTTTTCATCTATAAAATGGGGATAATGGCTAACAGTTATTGAGTGTGTGTTAAGCATTGTTAAAAGTGCTTTTCTTATATTAATCTTCATTGTAACCCAAATGTTTTAGGTATTCCTAAACCTTTTTTTAAAAATGGATAGGCTGTGGGTTAGTAACTTTTCTTAAGATCACATGGTTGGAAAGTAATGAATCAAAGAATTGAACCAGCCATTTTGAGCCATCCAGGCCTTTACTTGTAATCATTACGATACTACTACTTTTGGAAGGATCAGATGAGAACATGTGACAGGTGTAGGGCCTCATAGATACTGATTATTACATGCTAGCCATCTCAGAAATGAGTTAGAACATTATAGGGAGATTGGGATGGTCTGCTTGTACACACAGCTGAGCATAGGACTGTAGGTGTGAGTGCAGTACATATGACTAACTGAAGGCAGTGGATTTTGTAATGCATGGTACCAGTTTTGGCCACCTCCAGCCTCAGAAAACCCTGTTCAGTGTCTTGGGATCAGATTCTCCTGGATGTGGAAAAGAAAGGTAATGGGCCTACAGAGACTGTAAGGGGAAGTTAAGAGTATGTAGCTGGGAATGGGATTGGAGGCATAGGAAGCTCGTTTAACTGGCCTAGTGGGTCCTTCTGAACCTCCTGGGAGAACACTGGTTTTTGATTTCAGGCTTTTTAAGACTAGTAATTCATTCCTGGACCAGGAACCAGAGTTATTTATTAGGTGTATAAAATATTCACCCCTAAGGGTATGAAATTTTACAAAAGTTGCTTATTCATATTTGAGTGTTCTTCATTGGCACCTCCCTAATTTAGATTTGTCCCTCATTTTCTTGAGGCCAGGGTTCAGGCTCTTTCATTTCTTCAAGATCTGTAGCCAGAGTGTATATATGCTGGACTCCGACAAAACATCAACTTTCTAGATGACTTTGGACAAATCACTTTACCTTTTAGGGCTTGGTAACTTGGTCAGCAAATAAGAATCAGCAAAAAGGCATCTACAGCTGTTACAGACAAGGTACTTTTAAAACATCCCATTTGATCCCATTTTCTGTAGTTGGGGTTGTAAGGTAGGGGACTTGGACTAGATGTCTTTCGTTAAAAAAAAAAAAAAAAACTTTAATGGAAAATAAAATAAACTATTGGTTTTTAAGGGACAAACATTAAGCTCCTGTAGTACTCAGTAAAATATGTTGGTTAGATGGAACACTGGTATGGAGACATTCGAGCTATAAATCTTCATACCTAAAGCTTGATACTACAGTATTTGTCAAGCTGGTAATCCTGGTGGTGAAAAGCTATAGCATAGGTTACCCCCTGGCTTTTGGGTACCTCCTTTTTCTGTTAGAGGGAGATTGGGAAGTGTACTTAGCTGATCTGAGTAAAGGTGCTTGTTTTTAGTAATACCAAGAGGTTAACACACGCATTCATTTTTTCATTTGTTAACTTAAGTCAACAAATACATTTTAAGTGCCTACCATGGGCCAGGTGCAGTTCTAACACTGAAGACGTAGGGAATGAGAAAAGGTCTCTGTCTTTGTAGAACAAGTATTTGCTTGGGACAGCTGGTGGGAGGAAGGCAGAAAATGAACAAACAAGTAGGATTTCAAGTTTTAAGTATTTGGACAAGTAACATGGTGTCACGGGATAGAGTGCCAAGGTAGTGTTGGAGTAGGGGGATGTTTTTAGAAGGGTGGGCCTGGAGAAAGAACATTCCAGTCTGATCTTGGGACAAAAAGGCCAATATGCTGGAGCATAGTTAGGGGTTGCGGTGAAGAGTTGGGGGAAGGGTTATTAAGGAGATTGGGAGGTTCTCGCCACAATCAGATTGGATAGGGTGAGTTTGAAAGTTTTACAATTGCAATGGGTTGTAAAAAAGCATGGGAATGATTTAATGTGTTTTACTCAGTTGGGTGAACTTGCAAAATGAAACAAATATAACTGGATCTTGAGAGCTTTCAGAAGGTAAATCAAGTAATTAGGTTGGGAGATGGGAGTGGGCAGTGGTCTGCAAACTGGCTTAAATTGTGATCCCGAGAAGATTGATATTTCCCATCTCAGTCTCCTGTGGACTGGGAGAGATTCCTGTTTTCATAGAGTGAGTTGATCTCGTTTTGGTATTTTGGAAGAAAGTTTATCTCCAGGGATGTTGGGACACAAAATATTTTGGAAGATCAAACTCAAATGTGCTGAGAGGATTTTTTTTTTCCCCCAACCAGATTTGTTTCCCTGTGCAGATGAGTTGTGACCACCTCCTGATGCTGGCCCCTCCAAAGGGTGGGTACACGAGCAGCAGAGTAACATGGAGTTACTTGTTTTTCTTCATCACTGATCATATGGCCTTTACACACTATCATTATTAGACTCAGGAGTCCACAGTGAATGGACCAAGATTAGTGACTACTGCTGTGTAAATGTTACAGTTTGGGGTTTGGTTTCTAGGTCCTTGTCTTTTCCCACTCTAGAGTAAGTTATTGACCTGTTTTCCACCATTTGATTTGAGTCGTGTGAGTTTTTTTAGGTTGTATTTTTAGGGAGAGGGGAAGGAAAGGAGAAAGAGGGAGAGAAACATTAATGTGGGAAACATCTATTGGTTGCTTCTCGCTAGCCCCCAACTGGGGACCTGGCTCTCAACCCAGGCATAGGTCCTGACTGGGAACAAGCGACCTTTCCCCTCTGTGGGACAACGCCCAAACCACTCAGCCACCCTGGTCAGGGCACATGTCACGTTTTTAAAACCACTTTCATAAAGGACCTTGCTTCACCTTTCTCCTTTTGTCCCACTCGTCTTTGCCGGGGTGGGGTGCTTTGGAGTGTGTAGTATGTTCTATTTCGTCATTTCCACTCCCTTTCCTCAAACAATTCACTGGTTTTGTCATGTTTTAAGTTCTTCAACACAGTATTTGTCCCCTCTTTTAACTCCCTTCAAAAGCTTCCTTGTAAAGGGGTCATTCCTTGCTCAATGAATATGGGGTTGTGTGAAGAGTCAGGATGAGAAAGAAAATACGGGGAGCTGGACCCTTTGAAGAATGATGTTTTGACTGTATTTTGTTTACAGCTGGTTGTGATTAGGCTCTTCCCTCTAAGGTCCGTCGTAGGAGTTTAAACCTACAGCTCTGGCTGATGGCGCCCAATAAAATAAAATAAAAAACTTCTCTGCTCCAGTTTTTTCTCAGGGCAGGGTGGGGGTGTTTCCTCAATTTCCATGGCCACAGACACAGAAGTCGCTTCCTCATCTTCGATTCCAGGATGCTGGTGGGGACGGGGGACGGGGGACCGGGGACCGGAGACCGGCACGGGCACGGGCACGGGCACGGGCATGGGCATTTGTCTTCTCCGTACTTCCCAATTAACGCCGCCCCAACCCGGCTGACTTAACGGCCATTACCCTCATCTGATGCTGCGTTCATTAACCTTTTAGAGAATTCCTTCAGTCACCACCTATGAAAATATTTGGGGGAGCTCCTGGGACTCCCACGGCGACAGTATGGATTCTTTGAGTTGATTTCTTACGGTGAAATGTTCTTAGTGCTATTTTTCTTACTGGATTTTGGGTCTGCATAAAGCGATCGTCCGCATCATCCTGGCTGCGAGCGGGTGTTGTGGGAGGTTAGGGGGAGAAATTTGGAGTAGAAGGCAAAATGGAGCGCAGAATACTGTCAGGGTGCGCACGTGGAAGCGGTAAAATGAAGCTTAACAAAGTTGGCGCCATGAAGCTAAAGACTGCCACACCTGGCCTAACTTGCTCCGCCTAATGGCGGGTCGAACCCGCCGGCGGAGCCCACGTTTGTAGTTCCTCCCACACGGCAACCTCTTACCCAATCAGTGATTTCGGCTTCGCGAAATAGGTGCTTATTGGCTTTCGCGTAAAAGCTCGGGGTTACTGACGTTTCCACCTCTTCCCGGCCTCTCAGGTAACTGGCGTTTCTGACAACCAATCAGGAAGAGGATCTGGGTGAATGCCGGCCTTTTACTTTACTGAGTGGCCAATCCGGTGGTAGGCTCACCTCCCCCTCTACCCAGAGTCACTGCTGCGGCCGCCGCCATTTTAGCGTTTTGTCAGAACCTTCCGCGCCGCGAGGAAGCATTCTTGCTGATTTCCGTGCGGGTGAGAGACTTCGACCTCCTCCATTTTCTTTCTTTTTTACTCTACTAAATCTTATCTCACTGTCTTGGGCTTCATGGGTACCTCCCTTGGGTATCAGAGGGGTCGCGGCCTCCGCACCGGTAACAGCTTATTTTGGTGCTCGGCGTTTCGCGGTGAGCCCGAACCTCCCTTCCCCCACGACCTCCTCCGGGAATACCTTGCTTTTTCCCACCCTACTGTCTACCCGACTTGGCTCGGCTTCTTGCCTCAAGGTTTCCACTGAGATAGTCCGTTTTTCGTGAGACTTAGAAATTACAACCCTGTTTTGAGAGTTTCTCAGGCCTTCAGATATGGATGTCTTCGTTCCTCAGTCTGAAGCCCCCTATTTTTGGCCACGCATTTCTCTGTTAAGCAGGAGCCCCGAGGGAGGCGTTCCCCGTTCTAGCACTTCCTGTAATCGCCTCACCCATTGCTGTCTGGCCGTTGTTGCCCGTTTACTGTTCGAAAGGAAACTAAAACGTAGTTATAATAAGGCCCACTTTCCCGGAAATGGTGGATAACGGTTATGAGAGGAAAAACCAATTCATAATTTCAGGTATTCAGTCTTCGTTTTCTGACTATCGTCATAATGGATAGAAAAGCCCAGTTCCCTCAGCGCTGCATTTATGCTCTCACTTTCATTTCCGTTCTTGTTTGAAACTCTTACCATCTCTTACCAAACCCTTTGTGTGCTGAGTAACCCTCTCTGTTACACATCTCTCGTTTTTAGTTGGTCTGTAGCTGCTATTGTAGGGGTCCTCCGTATTCCCATTGGTTGCTGTTCAGAAGTAAGCAAGTGAAAGACGGAAAACCTGTTTGGAAATATTTACTAGAATGGAAGGATGTGACAGTATATGTTTTTAATTGATGTGGGCCTAAGGCCTCGTTAAAATTGTTTCTTCTCATTCAGGCAGAGATGGTGAAGCTGTTCATAGGAAACCTGCCGCGGGAGGCTACAGAGCAGGAGATCCGCACACTCTTCGAGCAGTATGGGAAGGTGCTGGAATGTGACATCATTAAGAACTACGGCTTTGTGCACATAGAGGACAAGACGGCGGCAGAGGATGCCATTCGCAACCTGCACCACTACAAGCTGCATGGGGTGAACATCAATGTGGAAGCCAGTAAGAATAAGAGCAAAACCTCCACGAAGTTGCATGTGGGCAACATCAGTCCCACCTGTACCAACAAAGAGCTTCGGGCCAAGTTTGAGGAGTACGGTCCAGTCATCGAATGTGACATCGTGAAAGATTATGCCTTCGTACACATGGAGCGGGCAGAGGATGCGGTGGAGGCCATCAGGGGCCTCGACAACACAGAGTTTCAAGGTGAACCACCACCCTCTGTGGGAAGAGGGCTGAAAACAAGGCTAGGTGAAGAAAATAGGTTGGATAAGATAAGTAAAAGGGAGGGGTTTGGGGTAGAGGTTCAGCTGGTGGCTGGCTGATGTTAAAGGATTAAGTGTAGGTGATGGACCTAAAATGGAGGATGCCTGGGATTTAGAGGCTTTACCTTAGGCGAATCAAGACTCTGGGAGTAAAACCAGTTGGCTTTAGTTTGGAGCCCCTGAGGCTTTTATACCTATTAGTGCAGAAATTCTTTTTTCTGAAGACTTGCCCAGTTACATTGTCTTTATAGGGGGAGGGAGTAGTTGGGCACATTGTAGTTTTTCATTCATAATTTATTGCCTCAGCACAGTATAGGCATACTTCAGAGATGCTGCAGGTTCAGTTCCAGACCACTGCAATAAAGTGAGTATTGCCATGAAGCCAGTCAGAGCAAGTTTGGTGGTGGAGGGTCTTGCCTAAAATTTGGGAAGGAAAAGAAAGCAGTATCTGTGAAACACAATAAAGCAAGGTGTGCCTGAATCGGCATTTTTCTTTATTTTATATATATGAAGAACTTGGCAAAAGCTACTTAAGTGACACATTAAAGAGTAGAAACCCTGTTAAGCTCCTCCACCTTATCCCAACTCATAATTTTTCAGTAAAGATAACTAGTGATTAGATAACTGGTGCCATTAAAGGGCTGTACCTCTTGTTTGTACCAAGAGGTTCTATTTTTGAGGAAGAGACTAATTTTTTTTTTTTGAGGAAGAGACTAATTTCAGGAGTTTCTGAGAAGGAGGTATTGAGACATTTTGGGGGAAGACAGTAGTGGCAGTGCCTTCACTCTGGTTTGGGGGGAGCTGGCGGGATTGATGAACTTCAACATCCTTTGTGAATAGATAACTTAGATGGGTGTTGCCTTGAAGGCTTGACGAGGTGGATCATGTTAGTGTACCTGGAGGGCAGCATGAGCGATGCTGTGGACTTTCTCGCTTTGGGAGGTATCTTTTCTTGGTTTTAAGATCCAAGCTTCTGTGGCAAGAGTGGCAATCACGAGGGGACTGGTAACCATGGTGAGTTGTTAACTTCTTTCACCCCCTTTGGGTCCCCAGTGTTAAAAAAGAACCTTTTCCCTTTGATTGTAACTACTTCCAAATTATTTGATATCCCCACAACTCCTTGCTACATTTTTAATGTACACTCCAGCCTTTTTAGCCCAGACCCAAGGTAGTGGCTGCTGCTTTCCCTGAGTAATTGCTGCTATCTTTGCTGTTTATCTCCTTTAAATGGGACCTTTCTTAGAGATGGAGGTCTCATCATTATTCTTCCAAGTAACGGGTGCTCTGTGTCATGGGTATTGCTGTGAGTTGTTAAGCAGAAGTGTTGTAGGTCTCCCAGGTCTAGTTTGTTTTCCTGTTTTAATTGGTAAGTTGAGAATTATTGTGTGTCAACAACTTAATTGGGAGCAAAGGCTGCTCTTGTGGAGGGTTTGTGGTCTGATACCTAATTTTTGGACAAGAAGATGTGGTGTCTGCTTGTAGAAGTTAAACGTGTAAGGGAGGAACAGTGTGGACTGATTCAGGTCAAATCTTTTAGCATTTGATCTTTAGGCTCTCTGTTTGCCCTATTTTTCTTATTTTTAGCCATTTCTCCTTAATACTGCCTAGTAGAGTTCTAAGTGTATGCAGGGTAGCAGTATATGTTAGTGGTCCTTTCCCCTTTCAGTTTCTCAGTGTTAGGTATTCAGCTAGGCCCTCAGTATAAGGGGATTCCTATCCTCATTGAAAATAGATTTGACTCTTGGACAATACAGGTTTGAATTTCATAGGCATAAGTGGGTCCACCCAGTTCAAACCCATGTTGTTCAAGGGTAAACTTTCTATTATTCGCCCATTTAAAAATTTTAGATCTTTTAAAAACTTAGCTGCTTTTTCTAGATTATATCAGGGCATTTATTAATGATCTTTTATGTCTTGAATGTGCTTGGTTGGTTCCTTGGTTACACTTATTTTCTCTGATTTTGATAGGTGCCAAAGTGGCCCTCTGGGCAAATGCCCAAATACACAGATTATCACATTAAAGCACTCAAATATTTAATTGCATTTCTTAACTATTAACCCGCAGACTACACCTACCAGATGTAATGTTTAAACCATGACTTTCTTTTTGTCATTTTGGTCCTTCTGCCCTAGAACCTAACTTTAATTGCAGGTGAATTTTGTGTTTACTATTTTCTGTAATGTTAGATGAATAGATGACCTGTTGACTCTCCCCTGCTTTTAATCATTCATTTCTTTGACATCTGCCAAGTTTAGGTGCATCACAGCCAATTGCATTAGAAAGTTTTTTTTGGAATTTTGCTTACCATGAAATTGGTAGATAATGTTAGGCAGAAATGCTTCTGTGAAAAAGTTAAGCTTTTCCAGGAAAGTTTTTTGGGGGTGGGGGTGGGTTAGGTTTTCAAAAGTGGTATTTTGCATTTTCAGAATACAAATTGTAGTTTTCAGCAAAAATAGGAGAAAGTGCATATTCTTAGAATCTCAGATCTCTAGTTTAAGGTTTTTGAAAAAGTACTTTAATCTTGCTAAAATGAACAGTTTGATCCACTGCCTGGTATTACTGGTTACTCTCCACTTTTGTATTCCCCTTTTTCTTCCATGTTTTTTCATAATCTTTAAAAGAAATTCAGGCATCTTGTGACCTCCCTGCTCTGTTTCCTTTGATTCTGCTAGGGGTCACCAGAGTTAGTTGTCAAGTTGTAAAGTATCATTGTTAGGATGAATAGCAGAACCAGCAATTTAAAGAACCCAGTTAAAGGGCGAGCAGTCTTTCAACTTGTATTTTACTCCTATTCCCCTAGTTCATGAGTGTTTTTTCCAAAAATCTAAAATTGTTTATCATACTCAGCCATAGATGAAGTCTGGATCACTCTCTGTCAGTGGTAACTTTAGAGTTATTCTAGTTTCTGATGTTGGACTGGGGTGAGAGTCTGGGGGACTGGTCTTTGCATTCTCCTGCGTAATGAAATCAGAGTCTTGATAGTGAAGATTGGAGGTTCCAGAATCTTATTGAGCACCCTTGTTTCTTTTGACATTGGGCCACTTTTCAGAGTAGTTTTTGTCCACAGTTACTTGGCAAAGATGGAGGTACTTGTTTTTGCAAGAGAGTAGTTTCTTTCTTAAGCATTAAACTAGAGTTGGGTGTTAGAGCGAAAACATTTCTTCATCTAATCTTTGTCTGAAATCAGGTCATTATACTAAAGTTATGTATTGGACTTAAAAAAAATCTTTCTGGCATTGACTCCTGCATTAGCGTTGTCTAGGTAAAGCCATTGCTATGACCAGTATCTGGGGCAGGGGCTGGGGCTATGACTAAGAGTGATAGCAACCCTTCTTGCGTCTGTTTCTTCAAGGCAAACGAATGCACGTGCAGTTGTCCACCAGCCGGCTTAGGACTGCGCCCGGGATGGGAGACCAGAGCGGCTGCTATCGGTGCGGGAAAGAGGGGCACTGGTCCAAAGAGTGTCCGATAGATCGTTCGGGCCGAGTGGCAGACTTTACCGAGCAATATAATGAGCAATATGGAGCAGTGCGTACACCTTACACCATGAGCTATGGGGATTCGTTGTATTACAACAACGCATACGGAGCGCTCGATGCCTACTACAAGCGCTGCCGTGCTGCCCGGTCCTATGAGGCAGTGGCGGCTGCAGCTGCCTCCGCGTATAATTACGCAGAGCAGACCCTGTCCCATCTGCCACAAGTCCAGAACACAGCCATGGCCAGTCACCTCACCTCCACCTCTCTCGATCCCTACGATAGACACCTGTTGCCGACCTCAGGAGCTGCTGCTACAGCTGCCGCTGCTGCAGCAGCCGCTGCTGCTGTTACTGCAGCTTCCACTTCATATTACGGGCGGGATCGGAGCCCCCTGCGTCGCGCTACAGGCCCAGTCCCCACTGTTGGAGAGGGCTACGGTTACGGGCATGACAGTGAGTTGTCCCAAGCTTCAGCAGCCGCGCGGAATTCCCTGTACAACATGGCCCGGTATGAACGGGAGCAGTATGCGGATCGGGCGCGGTATTCAGCCTTTTAAAGCTTGAGGTGAGAGCGGTGGGGTGTCACCTGTTCTGGTTTTGCCGTCCTTCCTGCAGCCTAAAGGCTCCAGTTAGGCTGCCCTGCTTGCTTGCTTTTGCAGGGTTATGGTAAGGTTACCAGCATGGTTCAGAGGCTAGGGAAAAGTCCTAACTAGTTAACTTTTTGAAATATTTAAACATACTTAGCCCTCATGGCTATATTTCCAGAGCTCCTTGTAGTGGGAATCAATCTGATTCTATTTATGTCTGGAAAAACAAAGAATGGTGTGATGAATCTTGGGTCACACCTGTGTGCTGTAATTGAACTGAACCTGAGACCCAGACATTCAGATTCAAGTGTGCTGTTTTTCAGAGCCTTTGTTGAAATTCCTAGGTATGTGACATCACTAAGGTCTGCAAGTTTCCTGTTCTACTTTGTGCTGTGTGAAAGGTCTGATAAGACCTGTAATGATAAAAATCAATAACTCTACAGTTACCTGGTCATTACTGCTCAGGTCCCAGTTAGTATGAAGACTACCCAAATGGCATCATCTTAATCTTGAAGCAGTGTATTTCTGACATTCCTGAACAGTTCACCCCCTAATGAGCTTTCTAGGAAAAACTCAACTTGATGTTAAGTTGGGGCAGAGAGGAATAGAAAAGGTATCTTCTTTTGATTTATAAAATTGAGTCCAACAAGGAATCTGGGGCATAGACTCAAATCAATCTTTACCACGCAGCTCAGATTCATTCCCTAAATAGAATGCCCACTCCATTGCTTTATCTTTGAATCTGTCCTGTGAGAGCCTGTTTACTTTGCTCTAAACTGTCCCCACAGTGTTAGGTTTGACATCCTCTCCACTTCTTCAGGGTAGATGATAATATAAATATGCATGCACACCTGTTAATTTTACTCTCTCGATAATTTTCATATACCATGTTGGGAGCTTTGCCTTAAGCCAGTGATTTTCAACCAGTCGTGCCATGAGAATTTAGGGGCGCTGACCTCTTTTTCCTTAGATTGCCAAATTAAAAAAAAAATGACAACAGCCAACACAACAATAGCTGTCTGATGTGAATGAATCCAAATGATTCCCCCCCACCCCCCCATCAGCAAAAAACACAAACATACATTTTTTTGGTGTGCGACAGAATTTTATTGATGTGTGTGCCATGAGATGAAAAAGGTTGAAAATGGCTATTTTAAACAGATCACTCCCTTCATCCTCCTATTAGTTGTGGGCATTTAATCCTCTTGAACAACCAGCTCTACCTTGAGTCCTCGGGCTTTTTCCTCTGCTACACATTTTGAATCTCATGATTCATTTGGCTCTACCTGAGTATATTCTCTTTTGATGCTTGCCAACTTTGGACTCAGGGTGTTTTGAGATTGTTGTATTAAAGGGTGATTGTCAATGCCCTTTGTTTTGAGTATCCCCTAGTGTGCCCCAGACATTGATCCAAAATCCTGCAGTAACGGAGTGGGTGATAACTCTGTCATCTTTTCCTTTAGGGCAGAAGGTATATAACTTGCCCAGGGTTATTAGAAATAGGAAATCACTCAAAGAGCTGAAAGAGAAATTTGATGTGTAGCTTATACTTGCCCTCCAGAACATTTTTAGTTTTTTCCCTAGGCAGAGTCAGATGCCCTCAGGTCTTTCAGCTTGTTCAGTTGATGCTACATTTGCCTAGACTTTAAATGATTTTTAACTTGGACCTTGGTAGTAACTCCCAGGTTCAAACATATTTTTGACTTTTTTACCCCAGAGAGCTAATTGGAACCTTGCCCTTTTCCCTGCCTTCCAATGACAGTTTGTGATGTGGAATTACCTTCTCTGAGGATTGCTAATGTTAACATCAAGGGAAATGCAATGTCTTTGCCTACGCTCATGAAAAACACAACAAAACGTGATTTAATTTAAAGAAAGGCCCCAGTCTGGGATTGCTTGACCTTCCCAGTTACTCTCTGGCCTTCAAGCTCTTCAGTTTTAGAGATTATTGTGAAACTGTAGATGGGTACAAGTAAGTAAACTTACCAAAGTCAAGTTAGCAGACTTTGTAGAGATGTTCTTTGAAGTTTTAAGTGAGAAAGCCCTTTTGAGCTTTGCTGTAAAGCCCCTGTATTGTGCTCTCTTTCAGGTGGGATGTGTGTGGGCTGAAATTCCGAGCTGCAGTTGTGCATGAGAATACACCCTTCATGGTACCCTGTCTCCGGGACGTTCTCGGCTCTGTGCGTTCAGTCCCTCAGGAACTATGGACCTTAATTTACCTTGCTAAGTTCAGACCACCTCTTCCTTTCCTCTCTCCTGCCCATTTTCCTGTTCTTCCTGTCCTCCAGTATTTCTGTAGCTTCCCATTCATGTTCTGTTCTCCTAGCAGGCCTCGTTGTGTGCAGAAACTGTGGTGGGGGCTATGCCGTCTCCCCACCTCCTGCCTCCAGTGGGTGTTGGATTTGGGAATGACCCTGGTGAGAGTGTCACTGCTTCTGAGCCTTTGGCCCAAAGGCTGTGGCAGGTAGACACAAAGAGTTGGATCACTTTTTTCTTTCCAGTGAAATAAATGGTTTTTCAACTTAGGATATGTGTGCTTTGAGAGAGTTCTTGCTTGGGCTTATGTCTGGGTTCTTTATTTGTCCCTGAAAGAGAGGGGGAGGATGGAAAGCTTGACATTCAGCTCTGAGTGGACATTACTGTGTTTATTTTCTTCCTTGTAGGTAGGCTTTATATGTGCCAAAGGAGCAAGAGGGGTTAAACAGAAGAACCCCGGCAGGCAGACTTATTCCAGTAAAGACTTCCTCCCACTGGTCCACCTTTGTTATAAAACCATTACTTACTAGTAGTTTGGAGATGTAGGTCGTTTCCTGCTCGAGAAGCAGTCATCACCCATCCTTTAGTACTACCATTCCAGCCTCCCAGCCAGTATATCTACCTGGGCTTACTTCCAAGGAAGAGGTCTAAGAAAAGGAAGGGTTTGAGGGAACACTATCACTTTTTATGTAATATGGAAAAATAACCCTTTTTAATACCTTTTGCCATCTATTTGTGTAGATTTGACAAAATCCAAAGAATCCCACTAATACCTCGTTACTTGTACCTAAAGCCTTTAGAATACTCTAGCGTTGAGTTTTAGATTATTTAACAATGAGGATGGGTTGGTGAGTGCAGGGAAGAGCCACTTCTTAGCTTGGTTTATGCAAACAGACTGTCCTCTAGATTTTTTGGTCTATACTTGCTCCATTTTTAACATGTATATAGTAGGGGACTATCTCATTAGGGGATTTCCCAGAATCATTCATACAACACATACTGAGCACCTACCGTATGCCAGGGATTGTGCTTTTAGGAAAAGTGGACTGT